GTGGGTCACTCGTGTAGGAAACTCTTGTGGGGCACTCTCATGTCTTGTAGGACACTCTTGTGGGACACTCTTGTAGGACACTCTTGTGGGAAACTCTTGTAGGACACTCTTGTGGGAGAGTCTTGTAGGACACGGTTGTGGGTCACTCTTCCGTCTTGTAGGACACTCTTGTGGAACACTCTCGTAGGACACTCTTGTAGGACACTTTTATGGGACACTCTTGTCGGACACTCCTGTGGGACACTCTTGTGAGACACTCTTGTAGGACACTCTTGTGGTATACGCTCTTGTCGCTCACAAGCGACCTGCCGCGTTTACGCCAGCATGTTTCGCGCTCCCCAGTGACACGGCGCAGCGAGAACGCACTTTCCACCAAGGCTGTGCCAATCCGCATGGCGCTGCGACATTGCTCGCGGACGTAATTCCCCCACACGGTCCGCCACTTACTAGAAGCAAACATATCACATCATACCGCCATATTCATCCCGCTCACCAGCGACACGCCGCGTTTACCCCAGCATGTTTTGCGCTCCCCAGTGGCACGCCTCCACGCAAACACCAAGGCCGCGCAAATCCGCATGGCACTGCGACATAACGAACGTAATTTCGCCACACGGTCCACCGCGCACAAGAAATCAAACGTATATATTCTATGATACCACTAATCATCCCGCTCAGACACGCCACGTTTACACCAGCATGTTTCGCGCTCCCCAGAGGCATGTCGCCGCGCAAACGCGGCGTGTCGCTGGTGCGCGGGATGAACGGTGGTATGATGTGATATGTTTGCTTCTAGTAAGTGCGGACCTTGTGGGGGAATTACGTCCGCAGTATCATGCGATGTTTGCTTCTAGTGCGCCAGCATGTTTCGCACTCCCCAGTGGCACGGCGCCACGCAAACGCACTTTCCACCAGGCTTCGAGTCCCGCCTCGAGTCGGCAAAACGAGCGTTTCGTACAAGACTTCCTCGAAAAGTCACGCGTGCAGTCTCCAAGACTCCAAAACGAACGAGACTTCCTCCAAAAGTCACGCTTCGGGTCTGCAAGACAAGCGTTTCGTACGAGACTTCCTCCAAAAGTCACGTCAATTCTCCAAAACGAGCGTCTCGTACGAGACTTCCTCCAAAAGTCACGCGTCAAGTCTCCAAAACGAGCGTTTCGTACGAGACTTCCTCAAAAACTCGCATGTCAAAGTCTGCAAAACGAGCGTTTCGCACGAGACTTCCTCCAAAAGGGGCCGACGATGAAGTTCTTGGTAAAGCGACGGAAAGGTGTGTCGCCATTGTCGTCGAAAGAATTCTTGTCATTCAATCTGCAGGTGAGCGGGGCGGTGCCAGGAGCGGAACCACTTCTCAAGTTGAGTGATGGAATGGTTGAGAAATGTCGTTCTTCAGGCCAAATCGTGTCCTGTAGATTGGCCTCGGAGATCATGAGTCCCGGAAAGAGATCTGAGGCGAAACCAATGACGTGACCGGAGTCGGGATGTCGCCAAAAATCAGCACGATTCGCATGGCAGGCGCACTTTAGAGGTAGCTCCGGTTCCCAACGTCGAAGGAATTGGCGGAAGTTGAAGATGTAGTGTCCCAGGGGTGGGACTTGATCTCGACAATAGGAGAAGCGGGCGCCTGAAGAGGTGGAAAGAGATGAGCGTGTAGTTGAAGAAAATGTCGTAGATGTTGACGGGTGTGGTGGAGAATATCGTGGGATAGTTGTAGGAGACGAAGTGTAGCGTGGGCCGGGGGAATGAGCAGCTTGCGGAAACGGAAAATCAGCTTCAATTGGGCGGAGGCTCGTGATCTCCAGGGTTCATCAATATATATGTTGGGACCAAAGCAGGTAGAGGACATCTGGAGAAGCGGCATGGCTGCGGAGAGTTTGGGAAGTGCATGTAGAACAACTCCTTGGTGTTGCTACCGAGACGATGCATGAAGGAGGTGAATTACGTCCGAGCTCCGAAGAAGTTGAAGACGGAGAAGGCACTCTTGTGCGTGATAACGTTCGCGGCGTCGCTGTTGTCGATGAAGACGTGTGATCCCGATAGGACCCGTTCTGGTGGTGGGAAAGGTGTATTGTGGACGTTGAAGCCAAGTCGGTGAAGAAGTGGGTTGGTTCAAGGATGGTTGAGTTGTGGATGGTGGTGACGTTGGTAAGAGACCTCCATAGAGCGAGTAGTGATGGTGTCTGTCTGAACTTGCGGGCGCGAGACATCTCGCGATCGAAAAGTGTGTGTATAGAGCTGCCAATGTAGAAGGCAACGCGTTGTGGGGGAATGTAGACCACAGCGGAGTGGAGGTAGTCGTTGAGGTAGAGTGGTTGTTTGGGGCGAAGACGATGCAAAAGCGGAAGAAGATTGGTGCGGCGAGAACTGGTGGGTAAGGTGCGAACAAGAATCAGGCGGCAAAGTTGGCCTTTCAAAAAGACCAATGGGCGGCGCTCCAAGTATGAAAGAGTACAGTACCATTCAACATAGCTGAAGAAGTCGAAGAAGAGACAAAACAAAGTAACTGGTGGTGTTGAACTAAAAGTGGGTAGGAGCCTTGAGACATGGTCACGGTCACAACATTCCGCTAGTTGGTGATGTGGAAACCATCAGGAAGCCAAGGCGTTGTCGGTTGCCAACATGCGGACCAGAACGTTCTGTGTAGCCTTGGTAGCGAGATTGGGGTCCCATCCCCACGAGGCGACAGAGGTTGGGAGTGTCCAGTTTGTCGGCCTTCAGGGAGGAGAGAATAGAGTCGATCTCAGCGGCGATCTCGACCAGCTTGGTGACGCGGCTCTTCTCCTTGACATGGGCCCTGATCCACTTCTCCACTTCATTCTTGGCGGTTGCGCCAGGAGCTTCATCTTCCAAAACAGGTCGGCAGCGCAGGGGGTCGGCGGAGGAAGCCTGGCTCTTCGAGGGATCAGAGGGAGAAGCACGAACATGACTTTCGAGTGTGTGCCCGAACGAGGAACGGGAGGTGTGATGTTGGTGTTGGACTTGTCCAGGTTGGTCTTGGGGGGCTCCTCTGGTGTACCGGGGGCAATGGGGGAATCTCGTTCTCCTTGAGCAATTTCTCGACCTGGTTGCACACCTTCAGTGCTGTGCTTGGGCATCTGATGCAAGTCTAAGCCCTTACGCTTCTCATCCCAATCATCCTTCAAAGCAGGAGCGTGAAGGTGACCAATGATGCGGGCGATGCTCTTGAAAATCTTGCGCGGCAGAGAAGACCAAAGATAGGCTTCCTGCCGGTTCCGGAAACCTTCAACTTGAACCAAGCGGCCGTTGGCGACGAGTCGGAGAGTCCAGTTCTCCTGTTTCCTGCTCAACACATCAACCAGGCGAACATCCTTGATGGGTTGGTGATCAGAATCAATATGAATTTGCGTCCAAAGCGAATGGAAGAGCATCGAGGTGAGAGGTAGGAACTACGACTGAAGTGAAGGGAGGCGCTGGGCCAAAGGGAGGAGGATAGGCCGGGAGGGTGGTATACGAGGTGGAAGCCAAGGTTGAGAAGGTAGTCACGATTCACGATTGGCTCGTTGGACCTCAGCGACCATCCGAGAGGTGGAGGTTTTCAGATCACGAAGTAATTGTTGCAGGTCATCCGGGAGAACTCCAGGGATGTCGATGGTGTAAGGCATCTCTTGAAGGACATCCAGTGAGTGGAAAATAGAGTCGAGTAGAGTGCGCTGCGAGATCAAGAAAAGCCGAGAGGAGTTTGCTCCGGATGGATTTCCAACGTAGATCAGAAAGAGGCTTGCGTAGGAAAGGGTATAGTAGATGAGTAAAGAAACACGGGGCGAGTCTCGAGCAGCTGTACAAGGAGAGCCACAGAAACCATCAAGGACGCTGATGTACCCAAAAGTGTAAAATTAAAATTGCGAAATCAGAATGTGAGGAAAGTAGTGGACTGAGAAGAGTCCATGGTAGCTCTTTTGGCGGTCAAATGGGAAGAGAAACCCGAGGGGCAGAATAGTCGGGTCTCCATAGGAGATCGCGAGGCGCTGCGCCAAAGAGAATGAAATTTGAAAACCTGAGGCCGCTCAGGAAAGCGGGTAGAAATCGTTCAAGGCGACATTGAACGCGGTCAACTCCTCGGAGTCAATGAACAGGCCAGCATAGACCGATTGACTCACAGCCGTGTGGCACTTGAACCTTCACAACATCATAGAAGTGGCTAGCCAGGCTGTCCGCAGGGAGTCCTCTTTGATTGACCACGAAATTATGTTGAAGGTTGCGGGGCAAGTGCTCTCCTGCCACAAAGCACGGGCGGCCGGATTGTTTCCCACCATACTTGCAGGCGGTGTGAAGAGCACATTGATACCCGGAAGGCAAGCGGATGGAATCATCAGCTCGACCATCTTCATGGCCACCATGTCCCGAAAGCAGCGACGGCAGTAGAAACCCAGGCTGGGTGTGTGATCGGATTACTGCCATGAGCTCGGGCGAAGAAATCCTTCTCCCAAAATGCTCAACAGAACTTCTTCAGCAGCGTGGTAAGTGTTTGCGGCCCGGAAGAATCAGGAGGATGAACGCGGGCTCGCGATCCATGATCCGATCCACCTGGCTCAAGAACTAAGTGATTGCGCCGCCGCGGGAAAGGAACTCGCCAAACGACAGCAGGTAAGAGGCGAAAGAGGCTCCATCACGGTGCGAACCATGGCGGGTGGAGGCAGGGGTGGGGCAGTACACTCTTCGCAGCTGCCAGGACGTTCCTGATCTCGAAAAAGAACGTGGCAATGAGGTCGCAGAAGTTTAAGAAAGTAATCCCAATCCTGAAACTGATGCGAGGCGAATCTCAATAAGGCCACCGAAAAGGCGGAGGGCATCACCATTTTCCTGCAAGGTGTTCAAGCTATGTGAGGTTGCCAACGAATGTTCCATCTGGGCAAGTTCGTCGATGCTGGCGGTCTGCTCCTGGGAGGAGAGCGGCCCAGACGCTGCTGATGGCCCTCCGAACGCCAACATCTCCAAGAAATCCTTGATTCCTTCAGCACCTACTCCTCGTCCACGAGCATCTACACAACGTCCGGGCCTCACAACATCCTCGATTTCGTCCTTCGCCTCCACGCCTCTGCCCACCACCGCCTGATCACTGCGACGGTCACGATCAGCAGAGCGGCGACCCCGAGCACGATCAAGCAGAGTGACGATCGCGCCCACGATGATCACGAGGCCGATCATGGTGTGTGCTCGTCTGTCATGTCGGTCAGTGTGATGATCCGAACGAGGTGGTGGATCAGATCGATGGCGAGACTGTGGATCATGGGCGACGGCTCGAACTCTGGCGCCAAGAGAAAGTCCCGATGGGTGAGGAGGTGTAGTAGGAGGTCGTGTGGTAGGAGGAGGGTGTTGTGGTGGAAGAGGTGGGCCAGGTTCTCCTTCCGCATCGTAGTCCACCTCTTCTCCGGCTGGTGGACGGTCCCGGAACGAGAGGAAGGACGATCGCCATCGCGGTAGCGATGTTCTGAATCTGAAGAAGAGCAACAGGTCGGCATGGCTGAAGGACAATGAACGGTAAAGAAACAAAGGTCAGTCTGTCTAAATTGTCGCAATGTGAAAGGTAAAAGTGTAGTCAGTGTAGTCAATAAAACCCAAAAAGAGGCAGGAGAAATCAACGCGTAAGTGTTGGAGATCAATACAAAAGGAAACCTACTCAAAAGCCAGGTAGTTCAATTGGAAAGGGATCAATTCAAACAGGAAAAAGGGGTAACAGTACAAAGCGTGGGAGGTAGTTCGAAAAGGCCATGGTCCAACATGTTTTTGACGAAAAGGTCAGTGAATGGGGTGAAACCAAAGACCTAGATTTGCGGGCGGCGGGATCGTGACCGAGGTCTGAGCGAGTGTGAGGAGTGTGAGTGTGAGTGGGAGTGGGAGAGTGAGTGAGTGTGAGTGTGAGTGCGAGTGTGAGTGTGAGTGAGAGTGAGAGTGTGAGTGTGAGTGAGAGTGAGTGTGGATGAGAGTGAGTGTGAGTGAGAGAGTGAGTGAGTGTGAGTGTGAATGTGGGTGTGAGTGAAGAGTGAGTGTTAGTGTGAGTGTGTGTGAGTGAGTGAGAATGAGGGTGAGAGTGAAAGTGGGAGAGTGAGAGTGAGCATCTGAGAGCACAAAGTGCTGCGCGTGAGCCGAAATCTGCACTTCGAGGTTCACCAAGTGCTGCGCCTGCCACGAAATCTACACTTCGAGGTTCACCAAGTGGTGTGCCTGCCACGAAATCTGCACTTCAAGGTTCATTAAGTGCTGCGCCTGCCACGAAATCTGCAAACAAGCCACGTGTCCAAAAGTCACGATTCACCGCGCCTGTCACGAAATCTGAGCTCCTCAACGATCACCACCATGTCCAAAGTGCTGCCCCTCCAACGAAAACTGCATTTCGAAGCAAAACATCTTGCGCCTGTCACGAAAAGTCGACTTTGAAGCACGGAAACACGAGGCTTCCCTTGCACCTGCCACGAAAAGTGACCATCATGTGCGAGCGCAGTCGTTTTAGAAGCACCCGCCCGGGGCACCCAGACTTTGTGAGCCTGCGCGGTCGAAATGCACTTCGAGGGTTTCGAGAGGCATCAAATATACTGCAAATAGCAGCGAATTAGCCGGACCCGCGCGGAACAGCGATCTAAGCACACCTGCTTTTCTACTACCGTCAGAACTTCAGAACCACTCAGTGTGTCCACACTGTTTGGGGAAAAACGGTGTGAAAATCCACCGGATTTCGAAGGTCATTTCATCGGTACTCATTCGGTGATGTATGGCCCAAGTGAGGGTGGGACTCCGGAGACGAAAATGATCGCTGGCTGTTGAGTGGGCTGGTGGTCATGACGCGCGCGTGTTGTTTTCCAGTGAGTGGACTTTGTGGGCCACTTTACATTGGTTGAGTTTGGAGTTGGATTATTGTTCAGCTACCTATCAACTTTTGTTGTTGGTAGCGGAGCCCTTCGGGGCATCCGCGGGGGCTTGGTGTTGACATGCCTCCAAAGACAGGACAAGCCAATGGTCCAGGGTCTACAGGTTCTGGTTCGCAGACTGCCGGTCTGCAATCAGTGCCAAGTGGGGTGAGCACCGCTAAGCTTGACAATTATGTGCCTGTTTTTAGCAACCAAACCAGATGCAAGATTACAGAGAGTTCAGGAAACGATGTGAGATTTACAAGAAGAAGATGCAGATTGGAAACCGTGGTTCCGAAATTGTGTACAATCTGGTTACATTGATGACTGGAAAAGCTTGAAACCTGGTTGAAGATATGAGCATCGAGCAAATGGCTGCAGAAGACGCATATGAGACATTGTTCACGAGGCTGGATCGAGGGTTCAAATATGATCCTTTGACTGAGTTGCCGGATGATTTTGAGCAATATTTTGTTCGCCTGCAAAGGAAGCCGCATCAGACACTTCAAGACTACATGAACGATTGCACTCGTTGTGCACGACGGCTTCAGGTGACACACAATGTCAATCTGCCGGAGAAGGTTCGTGCATGGTGGTTTTTGCGTCGCAGCGTCATTACAAAGGAACAGCTGCAGCTCATTTTGACAAACACTGGGGCCACAGGACTGACAGTTGAAGAAGTGATGAAGTCCATGAGTTTTATCCTTGGACAAGAGTCGACATTGCAGTCCACAACATCCCGGTGGTCGTGTCCTGTTCGAAAACCCATCGACGCCTACTATTCTGATGAAGAACTGTCATATGATTGGGCAGCTGGATAGGATGAAGTGTTAATGGATCCCTCCCCAACCAATTACGGTGAAGAGTTTGATTGGGATGACTGGCAGGACAACTACCAGGACGCAAAAGCAAAGATGAGTGCGTTGAGAAACGGGTTGGGGGCGGTCCGGGCGCTGTTTGGGTGGTGGCGGACGGGTTGGCGGCGAGATCAGGACGACGTCATCGGCGCTGGTGTCGTCAGTTGCTCTGGCTGCAGTCTGAGATCGCGATGGTCGGTTGGGTGGAGGTTGGCCAGTGGGGTTGGGTCCCTGGGTGGTGGGAGCCGTATCGATGCCATCGAAGATTGGCGGCGAGGGGTGCGCCGTCGGCGGTGGGGTTGGATGATTGGTAGTTGGAGGTGTGGATTCCATCGGGATAGGTGCCACATAGTTGTAGTGAACAAGCGTTGAGGTAAAGGCTTGGCGGGAGTGCAGCCAGCTTGGTTCCACAGGTCCATTGGTGTTTGTGGCGTGGTCGACAAAGATGACGTGGATGGAGTGCGCCAGGGAGCTGTGCTAGTGGCAGCTTGAGATGACACTGGAGGATCCGTCATGGCGTAGAGGTTCAGCTGCGGGTGTAAAGAGGAAGGGGGGAATACGTTTGTGGTGGTATGGGGATGGATGGAGGCAAGAGAAACCAATAGGAACTGGGACTTTTCGGATAACCTTTGCATATATACAAGGCGCAAAGGAAACTAGTGACATTGAAACGGTGAAGAAACGTTGATCTAGGAAGACCTAGGAGGACCCGGCAGCCTTAGAGGATGTCATAGTGGATGAAGTGAAGTCCAGGGAGATCGTCACTGAAGCATTCCCTGCTAGTCGTTCTGGTCGAGGAGATTGTTCCCTTGGATGACGATCTTGTCGACGCGGAGACCGGGATGTTAGGCGTGGGCTGGCCGGAGGTGTCGGGTAGTTCAAGAAGTAGCAAAAAGCTCGGCGAGCGTCCTGAGGAATGGCTTCCGGGCCCATACACGAAGCGACGCCGCAAATGGATCATGTACATCATCTGGAAGCGAAGGAGAAGGAGATCCAGGTTGATGAGTAGGTGCGCGATGGGGATCCGTCAAGTGGTCAGGAATTGGACGTTGAGACGGGAGGTCGCCGATAGCTGGGCGAAGACCGGGAGCTGAAGATGAAGTTGCCGAAGTTGATGTCAAGGATGTAGCCATAAGCAAAGAAAAGTAGCAAAGAAAAGCAGTGGGAAGGTTTGACGGGGAGAAATGCAATCCTTCTAGTTGGGGGGGAGTAATCAGGAGTGGGAGGGGGGAGGAAGCGCGGCGGTCTGTTTGTTCGCAAAAGCTAAAGTGAGGTGTTGGTGCAATCAAGTCTCACGGTGGAGAGAGTGATGCATGTAGACCGGCACGTCCTGCGGGAGAGACGCTCTGAGATGTGGTCTGAGTAGATGTTGTCCAGGGCGTGGATGTAGATGTATATCATCTGCGCGGACGGGTGGGGTGCGAGCGCGATCTCGAGGTGCAGGATGAGGACCGTGCTGCGGAGTCGGTTGAAGGCGAATGGTGTCGGAGGCAGGCGGTGGTCCATCACGAGGTACACGTTGAGCAGCATCAGACCGTGGATCCTGACGCGGATTGGAAGGGGAGCGACCAGTCAAAATACGATATTGAGCATGATGCCAGGAGTATTGCCACGTGCGAGTGAGAGCTGCAAGTTGATCATGTGGAATGGATTGAACCTCTCGCAAAGTGGTTTGGAGCTCATCGCGAGTGAGGCTGAGCTGCGTCAAGTTGATGCAGAAGTCCCGAAAACGGTGGTAGTCTGCTTCGGTAGGGAATTGATCCATCGGAGGTATGGGTTGAGTAACTATCGGGTGATGTTGGATACTGTCAATGATCCAAGAAAGCAAGTTGATAGTCCAATGGAGCCACATCATCTCGGGATGCCGTACGGGACCTGGATCAGGTTGCGGCGGAGGCATGCGAGGCATGGTGAATGTACTGAATGGAGGTCCTCCGCGTTTACTAATCGTGGGGGAAGTGTACAGAGACATGGCGAGGACTTGAACCGTCAAAATGGCTGAGGTGATATACCGCTAGAAGGGGAGCGGGAAACATGTGGAAGGGCGACGGGAGAAAGGGACAAAAGTATAGGGTCAAAGGCGGGCTTTTTGTCTGCTAGGATCCATACAGCGCTGCAAAATCGCGAGACTGTCGGAATTAGCTCGGGGAGTGAGTCTCACTAGGGGCCGCCTAAAAGTCCAAAGCTGGAGCACTTGTACTCGGTGGTGTCGGGGAGGTAGCCAGATCTGGAGGGAGATCAGCGTGATGTTGATGGATTGGAACAGCCTCGGATGACAAGAGGGGGACAGGATCCGGAATAGGTCCGTCCGCAAGGTGGGAGTCGGCCATAGAGGGGGAAGCCCTGAGATGAGCGTCAGGCAAAGCTGGATCAGGTGCGTCGTCTTGATGTCCGGAAGCGGCACGATCTGCTTGTGGCGAGGCTGGACGTTCGGGTTGGTCGGTATTCAGAGTGGCTTGATGTGAGAGAATCTCTTCCCATCGTGCCTTACATTGAGCAGGGGTGCACTGGAACTTCTTGGCGATGAAGTTCCAGCTGGGACGTAGCTTGGTGTTATAGTCTCCATGTCGATGAGTTGTTCTTCCTGCCATGGTTCCCACGAGTCCCAATCGGCCGCGAGCAGACGTTCTCCTTCGTGTTCGCCGCCCTGAGTAAACTTTTGCCAGCGCCCCAAGCCATGCAATGGAGGATGATGCCGGCTTTGTTCTTTGGCATTTGGCAATTTTTGTCGATGACTCGAGCTGTATGCCAGGCGTCATAGATCAGCGTGCCAGTAGTTTCATAGCCTTGAGCATAGAAACCTTGGGCAGTGGGTGAATGATTGGTGCTGGGTTTGAAGCGTCCAGACTGTAGCAAGTTCAGGAGGTTGCCTTCCTCAGTGGCGTGACACGCAAACACATGCACTGTACCGTGTTGAGTGTCAGTCTGGTTGCGGCGATGGGGGATGTGTTCGACTCGCTGTTTGTGCTGGAGGCGGGGGATGTAGAGGGAAAAATAAGCTGTGGACTTGTAAGCGTTGATGTCGTTGTCCCAGTCGGAATGGATCCATTGCTCAAGCATTTCTAAGTCCTTTGCAAAGATGCCGGCAGTAGTGAGGATCCTGGCCACGTAGCGCAGCATAGGAGTGTTGCGTTCCGCAAGTTGGTCGCATTGATGATGTAGGTAGTGCAAAATGCGATTGAAAGTGTCCCTGCCATAGATGTGACTGGCGTGGTCCTGCTCTGCTAAAGTGTAGGGGTTGTAAGGGCGGCGATGTGGTTCGGCGGCGGTGGCACTGGTGGCAACATGGATGCCCTTGGGTCTTGGGGTAGTGGCAGGGTCGCGGGTAGAACCGGAGGGACGGTCATCCGAATGCCGAGGGTTGGGTGTGAGACGGATGTTGGATCGGCGAGGGGAACGAGAGCGGGTTCTGGGAGCAGCATGGGTACTGGGAGCGGCGTGGGTGCTGTAACTTGTCAATGGTGGTGGAGCCCAAATACCACGCGTAGGTGGTGGGCCTGCGGGGGGTTGTGGTTTGACAGGAGGGCGGTGTTGGACCGGCAGCTTGGGATCGTGTGGATGTCGCTTGAGAACGTGTTGGTGTAGTGGTAGAAGTGGTGGTGGCTGGAGTGGCGGCTGATGCCGGAGGGGAAAGAGTTGTGGGTGTGGTGGAGACACTCGTGGTGTCGAGCTGTGGAGCGGTGGCCGTGGTGCCAGGTTGTGGAATGGGTGTTGGTGGAGTGGGGACTGTGGCCGGTGCGGAGATGTGCTGAGAAGGGTCCGTAGGGAGTGCGTGTTGTACGACGTTCTGCGGGTGTGGTGGCCAATATGTCGAAGGGGCGACAAGGAGTGTGGGTGAGGTCCAAGAGGGACTCGGGTCCGGTGAGTGGGGGGTTGTTTGCACTGGGTAACTTGCGGAGTGAAGTGCGGATGGAATCTGAACCAGGTGGGTATTGGGAAGGGGTTGGAGCTGTGTCGGCATCGCTGTGGGGGAAGTGTATTGAAGCGGTAGATGCTGTGGGTGTGGTAGTATTGATTGAAGTGGTTGAAGGTGAGGCATTGAGATTGGCATCGTGGGAGCTGCACCATATGGAGCCGAAGGGGTCACCAAGGAGGTCGGCTGTGAAATAGGTCCATAGGGTGAAGGTGTACTTGGTGTTGGAGACGGTTGAGCCATCCATTGGTAGTTCATGGCGTCGAAGTGAAGGTCGTGGAGCGAGTGGACGAAAAGTTCTCGTGCTGTGCAGAAACTGGCCTAAACCTGAACGTACGGTCGTGCCTGAGTCGTGCCTAAAATGACTGTACAAGTGATTACTTGGCAGCGTGAGATTGCAGACATCATCTTCAGTCTTTGATCACAGTAAGCCCTGCGGCATGAAATCAGGGGTATCGTGCAGTACCGTCATTCAGAGACAATCACAGGAAGTTCCGGAGTGCAAACGAGAGAGAATTCAGGGAGGGAAAGCCACGCAAGGTGGGTCTGAACGTGCACGGCGCCCCTTGACGGGGATCACACCACAGCCCGCAGTGGGGCCCTGTGGCGAAACACACTTAGAGAGTTGCTCGCATGAGCTAGTATCAGAGTGAAGTTCCCCTTGACTTGAAGAACCGAAGGAAGTGCAAACCGCAAGGTGGAAAGTCAGTCAATTTGTAGGTGTTGAAAACTGTTTAGTAATGCATTAGCGGCTTTCTGCAAGACACAGAATGGGACAGCGTATTCAAAAGTTCAAACAGTTGACGCCTAGCAGGTACGCCAGACTGATCAGGTCTGGTATCACGACGACATGGATGAGTCTTCGTTGGCTCGTGCCATCCATGCGTCCACGAGCCCCCTGCTGCTTGAATTGAAAAGTCGTGGATTGTGTTCCGGAAGCCTAGTGGACTTCATCAAAACTGTGATTAGCCAGGAGAACCTTAGGAACAGGTGGTGACACACACACACACACACACTGAGCGGACACCAATCCAAGGCGAGTGTTCCAATCCCTTTGCAAGCGGCTGGTACAAGGTTCTGTACCACGGTTGTTCAGAAGGTTGCTTGGAGATGGCCCGGCAAAGGTTGGCTTCTGAGGACTGTAAAGATCGGCCCATGGATGACACATGGATTCAGATGTGGGATGACTATTTGCCAACCCTTGCGCATGTCTTGGGTAGTGGCATTTACCAATCTTCAGCCATACCTTACCTGGAAGCCTTAGTTGCAGCCATGAAGCTGGGTGGATGTGCTACCTTGAAGCAACCGCAGTTTCGGAACCTCATTGGCACTCAAACCTCCTGGTGTGAGGGGGATCCGGAGCTGGTGCGGCCGCTGGCCTGGACGTGTCCTGAAAGCTGTGATTGCACAGCCGCCAACGGCACCTCCTTGCCCAGTTACTGTCCGCGGAGTTGCGCTGCGTGAGGAGCAACGGCGGACGAGGTCCCGCGGAGCAGCCCAGCGACAAAGCCGTGCTGTGTGGCGTTCACTGGGGGTTCACTAGCGCCAGAGAAGAGGAACTCGGAAAGAAAGAGGATGCAATTTTGCCGCCGTCGGGAGAAGCCTGGATGGCACGGTTTTCGAGTGATTTGGATCGTTGCTGAACAGACGTTGTTTCTCTTCTCACGGTTTGGGCGCATAGATTTGTGGAGCCGAGTATGGAGTTGGCCGTCAGCTGGCTGGGTTCATGTGTGGTTCCAGGATGTCGGACTATACTCATTCCATTCAGTAGCTCCAACCAACCCGTGATCTTGTTGGAACGCATTGTAGTATGCCGGCCCCACATATGATGAGCATTCCCAATATTCACCAAGTGTGGCGCAAGTGGGCAGTTGAACGAGTTTTTGTTCGGGGGCTTTACTTTCGACATGCCCCCATCCAGAATGCCCAAAAGACTTCCTTTTTGCTGGAAGGGCTACACAACATCTCAGAATCAATCTCGACCACATACAAAGATTTTGCCAAAACAGCGTTGTTTTTTCGGCTACAGCTTGAGTTGCTCTTCAGCATTGAATACTTGGTGATTACATGTCTCCAACTGCAAAGACAACTCTTTGTTAGCATTGCTCGGCCACGTCGTTTTGATCAAAACGCCAAGTTGAGACATGTTAAGACGAAGAAGCGCATCCCAGCGACCCCACGGGCTCCAGCCCTTCACCACTAAGCCCTTCGGCCCTTCACCACGGATGCTGACTGGGAGAGCCATAGTTGCTTGCGAACGCGCCATGCCGGAGGCAGTTGAAGTCGACCCGTTTTCCAGAATTTGGATGGATGAGTTGCAGAACATGTGTGGCAGAGGGGGGGTCCAGTCGATTCGGTCTGATGAACGGTGACCTTTTCATCCTTTCGTCAGGGAATATCCTTTGCTTCGGTCTCAAACATCGGCGTTTCCGTCGTTTCCTGGACTTCTTAGGGTATAGGTGTCACTGCCTTACACACTGATGTCAAGCCTGCTTGAAGTTGGAGGGGCAGCTAGGCTGTCACCGAAAGTCCTCTATATATTTATTCTGAGAAACTCTTCCCAAGTAGATGTTCCATTTGTCCGCACCTTTTTGGTGGAAACCAAACAAAAGGACACCTGTTTGTAAATCGCTTGAACCTGTGGAGTTTGACCAAAGGTGAGGTGAATCCCACTTGATCAACCCACGAATCCCGTTTTCCACCCGAGTCCTCGAACGACGGGCCGTCGGCCTCGTCGGGCCGTCGCTTGCGACGTCGCTGGCCGCCAGGGGTGAATGTGGCCGGCACCGCCATCGGTGTCCCCGGTCGCACCGGCCGTGACCCGGTCGGCGGACGTTGCGGACGTGAGGACTGCGGGACGTCGCGGCAAGATCCGAAGATCATGAGGAGATCGTGAGAAGATCGTGAGAAGATCATGAAGGATTGAAATGATTTCAAGTCTTTTCAGGCGCATTTGGTCAACGAACGTCTTGACACCACCCAAGACGCTTGAGGTGTTCCAGGTCGGTGTTCCAGGATTCGTTAGGCACCGTCCAGCTGGTCCAGCTGGGCCGGCCCGGCCTCGCACAGCCGAGGACGCGCAGCAAAGCGACCGATTCGCGCCGCTCGCGACCCTGGCATTGGCTGACCATCCTGGCAGGCGTCGAAGGTGGTGGATGTCCAAGAGGTCTAGACCTCACCAAAGAATGCAAAGATCCGAGAAAGACGAGCCGCGCCCCCCAAAAGACGATCGGACGTCTGAAGAACGAGTTGGACCCTTCCTGCACGGTATTGAATCTGACAGAATACGAGAAGTGGGATTCTTTTCCAACAGTTGACTCTGTCTAGTTGGCACATTGCAATGGGCAGCCAAGACTTTCCACTGCGTGTTGCAATCCCAATTTTTGGATCGCTTGCGCGGCGAAGCCAAAATTACTCCAATCTCGGTTTCCAAGTTTTTAGCCTTGCTTTCTTTTTTTTAGTGCCTTGAACAAGCAAGAAAGCTGTGGCGATGTACGCAAGATCCATATCAGGACACCGTTTCGAAACACTGGCAAGTTAGCTCCAAACTTATCAAGAAAGACTTGTGCTCCAAACTTATCAAGATAAAGTGGAAACACCGGGAATGAGTCATATTAGGACCCGAGGATTCCTGACACGTGCTAATCCACGCTGCGATGACGGTTCTTGTTGCGCCCTGAGGGCCTTAGTTCTCTCTCAACTCCCAGACCTTCAGATAAGAGGCCCGAAAGGCCAACCACGACTTGGTGGTGAGACCCATTGAAAAAAGGTGACCTGACTGAGATTGATTCTTTCGAAAGAATCCATTGACCGAGTGAGACCGAGCACAACGACCGGCCATTGATCGATTCTGCCAGGCTGCCGTGTGGCGAGGGTCTCCCGTGTGGCACGGAGGTTTCGGGTGGCGAAGCCCAGAGGAGGAGGCGGTGCAACGAGTCCCAGGTTCCAGCGGTGCGAGTTTTTGAAGAGGAAAACAGAAGCTGTTGAGTCCACAAACAGATGCTTGTAGGGTTGCAACAACTAGGAGTGGTTTTCTTGCATTAGCCTGGAAACCAAGGAGAGTCAAAAAGGACAACCAGATCGCAAACCTCGGTGTGATACATTGTGCCGTCGCAGCAGTGTAGCAGCGGTGGCAAGGCAAGTGGTATTCATAGGCCGCGTTGTTGCTAGTTTGCATCTGCTTCGTTTGCGAAGGCATGCCCCCCAAATGTGGTCGGAAGGTTATGCATTTCAGAAGGGTAGGTTTGCTTTGACATTTGGCAAAACACAGTGTTCGCATCTGGTAAAGGGTGTGGTGCTTCCTTTGGGAGCTAGGTGTTTTGGGGCAGTTCTGCAAAGTGGAGACCACCAATGGCAGATGTCCAAAGCCCTCGAAAGCTTCGCGGACCTTTCTCCGATCACCCTGTGAATCTTGGGTCCAGGGTACTGAGTACTAACAGCTGGAGCTACCAATGGCGGTGAAATCACCATCGCGTGCAACCGGAGCACGGCCGACCGGGTCGTCTTTTCACCGAGGTCTTTGGCATCTCTGACGTGCCCGGGGTGCCCAGAGGTGCCGATAGGTGCCGGGCGGCCGGCTGTGCGAGTGCGCCAAAAGGGGTTGCCAAGTCTGAGATGGATTAAATGGATCCTGTATGAATTGATCCATGGATCCATTCTTTGAAGGACTTGATCAAAGAAAGGAACGCACTGACTTGACGGGACACATCTGTTACAAAAAACTTGCAAACACATCCAGACATGAACGGCCAATTTAGAAGGGCTTGGATGGACCAGCGCGGGACCTCGGGGCTTCGTGGCGTTCGGCCCGTCGACCGGACCGAGACTGGACCGAGACCGAGGCATACGGACTGGGACGAGAACCTCCGACAGTTGGAGGAGCTGCCGGTCGGGATGCCCGGTGGGTTGGAAATGCAAAGATCTGAGTCTCAGAGGTGGTGGGTAGCTGTCCCCCGGGTGTCATTTGCGGTGTGGTGACACCTACGTTTTAAATGATGTGCTTTTCTGATTCTGAGACGCATGTGATGATTGGTGAGAAAATCAGAAGGCATGGCACGGCATCGCAGCATTTAAACACTTGTTCAAGGTAGCAAAGGTAGTTGGAGATTGATCCTCATGCCGTGTGGCACAAGTGCGTTGATCAAAGACTTCGACTTTGAGTCCAACATGGATTGGTGTTCAAGATCGTTCAACGGAGTGAGAAAATTGATGCAAAAGGTTGCAGAAGATGGAGGAGGACAATTGTATTTTGACGGAACCAAGCTCCGATTCCGCATCACTGGGTACCAGCCTGACTTGGCGAGGACAGAGACTGTGAAGAATCTCAGAGCCATCATCCACGGTCGCTACTCGTTGGCCAACGGCCGCCCGATGAATGCAGACATCGATCCAACCAAGTTGCAATCATTGCCCTACGAAATTAAAGAAGAAATGAAAGCCCTCAAGAAACAACAGATGAAGACAGAAGGGAAGAGGGACAGGCAGGCAAAGAACTACCAAAAGGACCGTGCAGGCAGGAAAGCCTTGTTGTTCAAGTAGTTTTTTGATGTTTGTTGTTTGATGTTTCACTTTCGTTGGCAGTAACTTCTGAAGTGCACCATTTGCAGCTGCCAACTTCGGGGTACAGTGTACAGCTTATTTGGTGGGAGGCACCAAAACGAGGGAAGGCTCCCATGCCCCATCTGCCGATGCCGTGTGCGTCAGGCCAAAAGGACCGATGTCCGTCTTTTCTCACGGTCGATCTGTTGGCTTCTAGCGGCAGCCAAGACGGCTTCGCCGACATTTGCATCATGCCTCATGCATCTCTAACCTCTCCGGTCCACTTTTCAGATCCACACCTCGACCCGGCCAGCTTTGACCGGCCCCTGTGAACCCGGGGCCACGGCCCGCGTTCGCTGCCGGCACCTCTCAGGTGGGTCCCTACAGCGAGGATGCCCTGCTCTTGGCCGGCGACGTGTCGCACGTGCCTCGGTGGGTGAAGGGTCTGAAAGAAGCTCGGGGCAGGAAAATGGAGCTCCACTTGAAGGATACCGAGCAGCCCATGTCTTTTGTGTGACTCATGATGACCCAGGTCTTTTCTGGAGCTCATGTTGAGTACTACCGTTTGTGTGGGTGCAGCCCAGTTGTTCTTTTCATGCTTTCCACTCAAGGTGTATTCTGTGCAAGTCCTCAGCCCGCGCTCGGTTGCTTTGCCATCCCACATCCTCCGATTCCTTCTTTTCAAAACCAGCCAGTCCGCTAGGACCCGACTTCGGCCCTCTCATCCACAGGGTTCCCATGGGTTCCCTTCCTTCTCACGAATGAGACACAAGCAAACATGACAAGCGGCTTTTGGGTGGGGTTTCTTTTCTTCGTTGCTTTTAGGACTTCCAGAAGGTCTCCCAGACCTTGCAGCTGCTGAAGCAACGCTTCAAGTACCTCTTCTTCGTGCCCGGTCACCGAGAAACACCAAGCTGAGCAGCCGAACGGCCGCGCTGAACGAGGGCGGAACAGACGGAGAATCCGTCCGTCTCATCGAAGCGATGAGACGGACGAAGCCCAGACCTCATCGAAGCGAGGGTTGGGAGGCCCGTCGCGTCCACCGGTGGTTCGTCCTTCGGTCCGTGGGCCTGACCGAGGCCAGGGAACCACGACCTTTATGTTCGCTGGGAGCTCAGGCTCCGGCTTTGCGAGGACTTCGTTGAATCGATGAGATTTCATGGGATTTCCTTAAGCCCAGTGTTGGGTGTTAGAGTTGCGTGATTTGGGGTTCCAGGTATTCTCTTTTTGTTTTTCCTCCTTTTGGAGCCATCGTGTCCTCACAGCGGTTGCGTGGCGAAGGATCTTGTTTGATGTTCGTTTGGAGGTCTTCACTTTTCAGAAAGGAATGAGTGCAGCGAGCAAAGTAGACGTACCATGACAAACAGCATTATGATGCTAGTCAATACAGCTCTTTTGTCGAACATTCCTGACATCATGAGAGGATCATCACGCATCAACTCCAAACATGTCTGATCACATCGTTTCGTGCAGTGTAATAACATAACCTAGAGGGATTTTGTGTGACTGAGGCATCATGTCGCGACTTTTTTGCACGTAAATAGGCACCACCCGCCAGAGTTTTCGACTAAGCCGTTTTTTGAAGAAAACAGGTGGCATCCTGGAGAACCAAGGTCACGAAGATGGTGTGGACTCCTTGGTGAAACATGAGAGGTGCGACTTCCAGGGCTTGTCCAGCTGGTGGTGTCGTTGATGTTGGTCGTGTCTGTCCGTGGTCTGGATGAAGCTATCGAAAAGGTCGCAAACTTGGCAGTTCATTTGTTGAAGTTGTAGAGAGAGTTTGGGTGTCGCACTGTATGCATGCAAGACCTTGGAAATACACAAGGAGGGCCACGATCGACCTAATGTGTCAAACTGTGGATCGAGTGGATCGTTCGCCCACCGGCCGATCGACCTCCGTGCCTGGCACGCGCCGGCAGCGGTGGGTTGTTCCGCGGAGGTTGCTGAACGAGTGCGCGAGACTGGGTGCCGGGGCCTCTTGGGTCGATGTGTAGGTTGAAAGAGGATTCAAAAGATGAGAAGAGGTAAAACCAAGACGAACATTCTGGCATCGAGCCAAAGGCTTTGGGTGCAAACACCCAGTGGTGAGTGGTTCCCCCCTTTCTTTCACACACATATGGTGGATGAACAAGAAATCACTGTCACAGACACGGAGTGGGTGGCACCTGGCATTTCAGCAGCTTCTCTCCCACCTGCTGATGGAGTCAGAGACGGCAGAGACAGCTGGTTCACACCTGCAGCGAATGGTACGGTGTCGCGGCTGGGCGACCTTGGAACGACCTCTGGCGACGGGTCTGGCTGCATTGGATCGGTGTGGACACTGCGCTGGCCACCGCGCCTGCCCCTGCTGCTCTGCCCCTGCACCTGCGCAATCTTTTGTTTCACACCTGGTGATGCCCTAGAACCCACCAGCTACCTAGACCTCTTCGTATTGGTGGATGGTTGAATTCGAATACACATCTCGCTCTTGAATGCATCTATTGCTTTTGCCACTCCTGTCTCTTCGAACGCATGGATCGTTCGAGTTCGGAGAATGTCCGAAAACCCGCCCTTTCCACCCCCAAGTGTCCCCTTCGCGTCCCCGTTTGGTGCCATGGCACCTTCAAGCCTTTCAGAGGTCTGGACCTCTCCTGTGCGCTTCAAGCAGGAGGGGTGCGCCGCGACCCGCGACCGGTCCCAGACGAGGGCGTTTGGACACCGATGTGGAGGTCACCGGTTCGGACCCGGACTTGGCCGATCGGGTCTCGTAGTTTCATGTGAAGTCAAGTTTCATGTAGTTTCATCAAGTCTCGTTTCCCGGTTTGCAGCCGACAGGTTTCTGGGACACAGCTGCAAGTCTTTCTTCAAACCAACTCACGAGGAGAAACTGCTGATTGTGCCTCTCCTCTCTTGGTATCACTCGGCTACTCGGAGAAAATCATCGACGTCGCTGTTCTTTCGGGCGTGTGACGTTGGAGTGGGGTGAACAAAAAGAAGGAACCATAGCGTCGTACTAATGGAAGTAACGGATTTCTTCTTTGCATTGGTCTAGCTGCTGCTGTTTTACCTGGCTTACGTGGCTAAAAACGGCATAGTTTACAACACTGTTGCAGCACTTGGGCTTCGTGGCTTCTGCCAGGGTGGTGAGAGAGGTCTGATGGTTTGAAGGCCCTCAGGGTTTGAGAGACGATTGCATGAAGGTATAGTCTTCAAGGCAGAACTAGCGCCATGTGTGTCTGATATGTGTAGCGCCATGATCCGATGATTCATTCGATTTGTTTTTCCTCTTTCTCTTGACATCCTGCATCCGAGGAGTTTGACCAGGAGTCCGGCGCTTGGGTGGTTTGGGCGGTACCCGCGTCTCTCCTACCAACGGAATTCAAGCAAATGAATGTCAACACTAACACTGCATGTAGCTGTGCCTGAATGGCGGCGATCTTCACATCATGCCATCGTTGAGTGTGTTGAAGCAGTGTGCACACAGTTTGCAGGCTACTTCCGAATATTTGTGTATTTGACGAACGGAAGACTTCCACAGACCCAAAAGCTAACACTGAAGTCCGGCTTTGGAGGGTCGAGGGAATTGTTAGGAACATGTCGGGTGGACCATTTGCGTTCATGAATGTTCATGAGGCTTCCGCCTGCATATTGCATATTGTTTGCCATTGTTCCAGCAAGGCAACAGGAAGCTTCCAAGGCGGGAGGTTGACCTTCCTACCAAACAATCCCACCTTGCAAGTCCCAACGACCTGCTTGTTTCGAATCAGTCCGAATCTGACCGGGGAAAGTCACCTGACAGGCCGAACCCCTCGGAAGCCGCATGGCCAAGCCGCCAGCACAGCCGCCTGGCGTCGGGGGCACCTGGGCGCAGACCGAAGGACGGGGGGCGAGTTGGGTTGGTTCAGCTTTCTCTTTTGGCACTGGAATGGTAGAGATCCAAGGAGGGAGCCTGACGGAGCTGGCCTTTTTGTGGCGACCTTTTTTGTATGAGTTGTAAGCGACAGAATGATCAGCCTGAAGTTCATTAAAAATTCCGAAGTTCGAGACACGGGGTGCCTTTGGAGTACATCCAACCAAGATCTGCCGCCTCGACTCCTCCAAAGAAGTCCTCTTTGTCATCGACTTTCTCTACCGACTCTACCGACTTCACCCTGGGGGGACGACCAATCCAATTTTGGGGCCAACACGTCAGCGGACTCAACCGGCAAACTTCCCCCACTTGGGGCCAATCTCCATCCCCAGAAACTGACTGGTGACGAAAGCGGGGAATTAAGGGAATTGAGGGTGGCTGGATCCGGGGCGATGTTACGTCCCTCATTCCCTACGCCTTCCTTCCCAGTCCAAAAGGAACGCGTGCGCGTGAAACGCGTGGTGGGCGGGACTCGACTCACCGTCCCGAGGCTCTTGGGAGACGAGATGGAGTGCCGCTGGCCGAGCCTCTCGGAGACTTCCGCGGCCGGGGGGACCGAGCCGCACCGAGACAGGGTGGGGCCGAGCTCGCGGGGGTAGAGAGGACCGGACCTGGGTGGGGTAGCCAGGCTATATAAGACCTGGCAAAATACTCTCCAGTCTTATATAGCACCATTTCATCCTCGCGCACTTTTCTGGACGATGTCCGAAGAAATGGACTCAGCATGGTCATTCGTCGCGTCCATGTAAACCATCTCTTTCTTCTTTTCCTGGTGAACTTTCGGCTACTTTGCGGGTTTTCCGCCGCTTCCCACCAGGCGCCTCGGAATCGGGCGCTGGCGGAACTCTTCGATGCAGGGCAGCACAGCGTGGACAGGGATGTGGAACGGCATGTCTTTCTCTGAACGGGAAGAGATCCTGAATACTGGAATGCTCCAAGAAGTTGTGCTTGTTTTTACATCTCAGTGTGCACGTGGATCTCTTCGCAAAGAGACATACTCCCTTGAAGGTTAACATGGAACCCCAAAAACATCTTGGACCATTAACATGGAAAACAATCTTCCTGTCATGAGGGGACTCTGTAGTGATCCCCAAATAGATAGAAACGGTTTCGAATACATTTTTAGTGGATCTACATTGATCTACCTCTTTTCATAGGGCACACCCCTCAACATTCAACATGTCAGTTGACCCACCTCACCTAGACGCCTCACGACACGTTTTTTTGATGTGTTTTGGACATTTCCGATTGATGTCGATCGAGGTGATGAATGACCAGCAAGCAGCGAAGGCCGCGGGCGGCCGCGGGCGTGCTCATGGGCAGATGGAGTGGAGGACATGCCAGATTATGCACTACACATGCAGACTATGCACTGGGTTTTGACTGAAGACTGAAAAGAAACCTTCAAGTTTTGGCAACATGACATAATTTTCCAAGATCCGGATGAACACTTGCAAGGGATTTGTCGATCAGCGTGATGTTTCTCCATTTGCAAGGAACAAGGCTACTCGGCTACTCTTCACAAGTCTTGTCGATGACAGTTGAGTCTTGAGGTGAAATCGTCATGTTCAAACAGTCTTACCATGTTTTACCCATAGCTACGCAGAACTTCATAGCTCTGAACTTCTTCATAGCCCGTCTTTCTCATGTTTGTATATGTTTGTATGATTTTCTTGATAGGTTTCCCCTCTGGCAGTGACTTTACAAACTGCCGGAGGTGAGGAGACCCGGGAATACCTAAAATACCGCTGCTCCCGGCAGCTGGGAGGTGCCACAGCAAGTCCCCGAGGGCGTCGAAGCCGCACGGGGGCTCAGCGGTCTCCGATTCGAGGTGTCGAGGTGTCAAGGTGTCGAGGCGGATTCCCGTCGAACTGGACCAGTTCACCCGTGTGGAACACTCGGAAACCTGTAGCTTCGCCAGGGAACTCTGGTGACAGGTGACGAGCCAAGGGATTCGCTCGGACTTCTTCGTTCTTTCATCTCTCCGGAATCGGTTCGTCTCTTCGGCATCGCTTCGTCCGGACTCTCCGCTTCTTCGACCGAGGTGACCTTTCAGAAGGTCTTGGAGCGTGACGCAGACGAGGAGGTGACCGAAACAAATATTCCAAAAAACCGAGGAGAGGTGACTCTTCCAATGACGTCGGTTCAGAGAGTCTTTTTTTGTTTTGTTGCAGAAGTTACATATGAAGCAGGAAGTGAGGGTCGTATGTGACCCATTTTTGCAGGTCCGTGAGAGACCTATTTTTTGCATCACGGAGGAACCGAGGACGCACTTTCTGCAGGTCGAGAGGTCTCATATGAAACATCACGAAACATCACGCTGTTCGTTCGACCTGACCACCAGACCTACGAAGGTTTTCCAAGACAATGTTGGATCACGAGCTCCCAAAAGCCTTCAACGATTCCTCAGAGTAGCACCTTCAACGAATTCCCTTCAATTTCGGTTACATATGAATGAGTTTCAATGAGTATTCCCTAGGGCTCCTGGCCCACCTCCTGACAAGATGGTTGGGGTGGGCAGGGGGGTCTAACCACCGAAGCTGAGGAGATGGGCCAGGAGCCCTAGGGATTGGACCACCTCCCCAATTTCACGTCCGGAGCTTCGCCGTGGAGGTGATCTCGATGTCTCACTTTTTGCCTGAGCCTGTCCTCCTCCCTGAGAAGTGCCTTGACCGGGCGATAGCAGGGGGTGGGATCGGGGGGGGATCGCTTCTTTGAACCAGTGGAACCAGTGGAACCTCTTTGGTAAGAGGGTAGAGGATGGTAGAGGGGCATATGAAGATGCTGATCGAAGGACAGTTTCCACCTTTTTTTGGCCTCGATCGCTGGTGACTCTAATTGGAAGAGGGGCCCCTTCGGATTAGGACGGCTGTGTCTTAAAGGTGTCGCTGCACCTGGAATCGATGTGTGTGACTGATCCCTTGTTCGCAAGAATCCAAGAAGCGGAGGATCCGGTGTTGCAAAAAGAAGTGGCGCGGAGTCAGCCATTCCGGAAAGAACTCCCCAAAAATGCCTGAAATGTGCCTTCGAGGGAGAAGACCTCCGCGGAAGTCGGGCGGGTTGTGTGAACCCAGAGAGCCAACCTTCCACATTGTCATATACGTGCTACGAACCCCTTCGTAATTCGCTAAAAGCATTTGAAACAGGCGACAAACGTTCAGAGACACGTGCTTTGACCCACCGGTCCGGCGTGAAGCGATCGGTGGGTCCGGTCTCACCGTTTCGGGCGTCCCGAGGCGCTTTCTCTTCTTCCCGCAATTGGCCGAAGCAGCAGGACCCACGGGTACTGCGGTGGCCGGTCCTTCTTACAACATCTCCACGGGCACTGGGGCGGTGAAAGGATCGGCCAATTTGGACTCCCAAGATGGTGTGCTTACTGTGTTGCCATGTGAAGTCCACTAGATCAAGCTTTAATGTTAAACGAAGATTTTTTCTATTTCCATTCATAACATCACATGGATGAACTGTTGATTCCCGTGCTCTGTGATTCCAAAACAGCTTATGAGGTCGGGCACAGGTTTTGTGTTGTGTCTTTTTCTTTTTTGTTCGCTGATTTGGATCCACCAAAACCAATGCTTGGGTGCACTCGTCATTCTCACCAGATGATCATTCACATAATTACGTACTTTTGTCCTCCGAGAAACGATCCGAAACAGGTAAAAGAAAACCCATGAGACCTAAGAAGAGTTCACAAGTCAATCTCACAAGCGAATCCTTCCAGATGTGGATGACATGGATCACTTTCCGTGTCCCGGTCGGGGCCATGTGGGCACGTCCCTTTCGAGGCTCCTTCGTTCCTCCCGGAACCCGGCACGAGGCTCCTTGTTTCTCCAAGAGCGTGTGAGAGCCCTGAAGCCCCAGCAGAGGAGCTCAGAAATGCAGGTTCTGAAGGGGCCACCAACGCCAACAACGCCTTTTCTTCTATTTGAGCTGCAAACATGTTGGGAATGCTTTGATCTGAAAGCGTTTGGATGCTTTTCTTCTATGTGGTGTGACACTCCGTAGATCACAGATCGACCGACCCACCAAGGCTTCACCTCTTTGGTCACACGCATTTCGCCTGGGACCAGGACTTTCAGGCGCGCAGGCGGCGCGCAGGCGGCTCGTCGTCGTTTCCAAAAAGCTCTGCTCAAAGCTCTGTCGTCGTGGGCGAAGTCATCTGCAGTCGCTCAATAGTGGCCTTGTTGAGAACCAGATCGTTTTGCAGTTTAGACCCAGTACCTCCCCCAAAGTCTCAAAGCAACACACCTCACCAGGCCAAAGCTCCAAAGCTCGTGCCGAAAAGACCGAAGCCAAAACGATCGGCACAGACCCTGCCGCCCGGTCTCTACCGCCGCCGCCGCCGCCGCCGTGCGTGGCTTCCGGTCTCTCCAGTTCTCCGTGGGTCGCGGCCAGGAGCGGCGCTACGTCTCGGCGCCCTTGGGGTCGCCCAAGGAGTGGCGCATGCGTCCCCGGTCAATGAAGCTCCAGGGCGGCGCCCGGGCGACCCGGAAGGATGGAAGAAAGGAGATGTGGGAGAGGTGGGGAAGTTCTTGGATTTCGCAGAATGAGCTGCTTGTGGTGCTCTGAAAAGGAGTTTCTCTCTCTCAATTGGGTTCCTCAAATTTAGAAGTTGGTGCTTTGTGGACCCTCTAGCTTGTGGTACTACGTTGATGTTATGTTTGCTTAGGAAAAATTGGCTTACCATCATATTCGTCCTATTTCAATAAGACCCAGATGCAGGTTTCTTCACTTTTTGTTGACCACGTGAATCCACACGAAGGAATATCGCGATCCAAGGATGTGGCAAACAATGAAAAACACCCAGGCCACCTTCGTGCGACGATCGGGAATAGATACTTAGTGGCACATCTCAGCACATCTCGGACCGCACCGGCGCTGAAGGAAGCCATATCAGACGTAACTTCGTGCAGCTTCGCCAGGAGATCTCCCTCTTTGCAGTCCATCAGTGGTCAATAGTATGAAGGTATCGACTCACAGAGATAAGATCATTTAAGTAGTACCATGAATCGCCCTTGACCATGCTAGATGTACCCTCTCCTTTTTCCCCAATCCAAAGGGTCAAACACCCGGGGGGGCCTGGGACTGACCGGCGCTGTGACCGCGAAAAGCACCCAGGTCCCAGCTTTGCTTTGGTGCGGGCCTCACCGAGACCCGGTCAACCCGGTCACCGGTGAACACCGAGGGGAACGCCGGTGGACACCGTGTCTTCCGTATCACCCTGTGTAGGATTGAGACTGCGATAGGTTCTTTTTTCCACTGTGAACTTTCACCTTTCCCTCAATCGTTCACGCTGGAGGAATCCGTTGCTCCTTTGAAGCGCGCGATCTATTCCGCGCTCTCGGCACGCAGCCGTTGGAAAACGGACCGCGCCAGGGTCCGGCGCCGGACCCGGCGCTGCTTGCCCAAGAGTGGAAGACAATCATGGATGATATATGAAGTCATGATAGGACGACCTGGTCACTGAATCACCACGAAACACGGCCGCCTCAAATTGAACACGGGATTTTGCGAGGCAACTACAGTCGGTCGGGAACACCAGGTGGACGGGACCCAGAGCCTGAATGTCTGTCCTGTAAAATTTATCCTCGGGTGCTTCAAAAACGATGCCAGAGCTAAGCAGCTTTCTATTGGAGCTCGAAGCAGCACATCGTCAAACAAAAACGACAGGGCCTCCCCCCAAGGACGCCTCTTTTTCATGCAGAGAATCACAAGATTTCCAAGCCTATTTAGGGCCACACCTGCCCTCAGACTGAGCGACCACATGTCACTTTCCCACTCTGAGTGACCACATGGACATTGGACATTTGGATGCTGAAGCTCCGCAGCGCAGCCGTGGTTCAGTGGCTTGGACTGACCGCTGCGAGCCACGCGCGGTTGACCGAGGACGACCGCGCGCGGTCTGGGGGTCGGGGCGGTTCACCGAGGCCGTTCGGATGCGGCCACGGGGCGGCACTGGCAGTCAGAAGTGACGCCGTCAGAGATGAAAGGACAAGCACCAGAACCAGAACCAGATCAAAGGGTATTGAAGCAACAAATAGAGTTGAACACCAAAGCACAAACTGTTTCAGCGGCTATTACCTGGTTTGAAATTGGTGATTGAAGTTGCGACATCGACCTCAGCCCATCCCATGGTCTCTTTCTTCTCACCTCTCTCTCCCTCTCCACAGGAGCCGGACGCCGTGCCGCCGGCTGTGCCGGTTGCGCCGTACGTGCGCGTCATCCACCAGCAGTACCGCACGGCCCACGCCGACGCCTGGCCGCCGGAGTGGCGGCGCTTGAGCGGCTTCTGGCAGCGGGCGGCAGCGCACGGCCGGTGGCGGTGGCGCTTTTGGACGGACGAGGAAGAGGCGAAGTTGTTTAAGGAGGAGCTGCCAGAGTCCTTTTGCAGAAGAAGAAGCTACGCACGTAGCTCCTGGCATCGCTACTAGTAACAAAGGGCATGGCTACTAGTAGCAAGAAGCTACTAGTTATCATCATCTTTTCCATGTTCATTCATTCATCAGATGTGCAGTTTTGAGCTTTTGAAGGGCTGTTCAGGTAGCTCCAGGCATAGACACATCGTGTTCGTGGCTCGGGAAATCGTTGGCTTGGTCTCGCCCAGGTTGGAGGAGTTCTATCATTGGATTCCCCAATGTTTGGACGCCTGGCGTGTTGAGGACATCATCGCATAAACAAAAGCACAAACAATGGCACATTCCACTTTTGACTCGCAGCCGTGTTTGAAGGATTGCACACAATCCAATTGATCTCAAAGCACTTTGTCTTAGTGCCTTTCTTTTTCAGATAGAAAGCAAAGACAAAACAACATGTCTGCAGTTTTTGAACATGGTGCTTTGACTCGGGGTGTCCTTCTTCGAACCCCCGTGTTGCCCAATCTCAGGATGCAAAAATCTCTCAAGCAGACCTCTCCACCTATGCCATCCTCTACGTCCATGGTGGTGTTTATGCTGATATGGATGCCTGGATTCAGTGGGTAGGGGCATTAGTGAGTCCTTTTCTCTCCAGCCTATTGAGTCCTAAGGTGCAAAACTTCTTCCATTTTGTGGGGCATGCACAGTCCAGTTCTTTGCCGGCCGGGTGGACCTGAGAAAGCGTCACATCATCGAATCTGCGCAGCAAGTGGGCCCAAAGACACAACTTCCAAAACCTCAACATCCATCCAAAGTCGATGCCTTTGGAGCCGCCCAACCTAGACCAAAAAGCACTAACCAACCAACCTCTTTTCAAAGAATACTCCTGCCCTCCCCAGATAGATCTCCCTCTTTGAACCGACCCCTGAGGACACCATGCCTGTGGGCTCCCTGGACGCCTTCCTGGACGCCGTCAGCAGCGATGCGACCGGAGAAAGGCCCCTGGCGGTGCTGGCGTCCATCAGCCGACCGGACGAGGCCGGCGCAGAGCTCCGAGCACCCCGCGGAGGGCGGTGAGACCGGTGGGAAGAGCAAGGATCCCGACAGTTGTCGGTGTTGGAACAGCAAGGAAGGTGCTGGGAATGTGGCTTGTATCAGAAAGGGTGACATCATGATATCGATACAACACCTCCAGGACATGTGATGGATTGATGTTGGAAGACTGTGATGCTTTCATGGAGTTCTTAAAAGACTTGGGCTTTTGGACTTTTCTTGTTGAAGGAATCCGAACTCGATCACCAGGTTGAGTGTGGATAGATCGCCAATTCCAGAAGCTTGCACAGACATAGCTGCTTGGAAAATGGCTTAGCTGCTTAGCTGCCAAATCCAACAGCAATGCTTATATAACTTATGTAACGGCTTTTTCGAAAACCATTTTGCGCTTTTCCGAAGACTTCCCCTACCAACACAACCAAAACATCCTTCACGATCCCATGTGTCAGTGAGGCGCGGCCTCCTGCACCTCCTTGCCGACAGCCGTTTTTGTCGCAAGATGCCGTGTTTGGTCTTCGCCTGAGCCGACGCCAGGAGGATATCCGAGGGCGTGGAGGTTTCCTGGAACCGTACGGCGTGGACACCGACCTCATGATCTCCACCGCTCCACGGTGTCCTGGACGGACGACGGTCCGGTGCGGCCGGTTCTGGCCGTAGAAACGACGGACGAACGACGGTCGGTGGCGTTTGTCAAGTTCGAAAGGGGCGGGCAACCGCACAAGAGAGGGAGAGAGAGAGAGAGAGATGGATCCGACGTGAAGCACGCAACGTGGAGTAGGCCATGTTCTCTCATGAGGGGCCAAACTCTCATGCAATTATATATTTATGAAAAAACGTGTTTTGGCCGGCAAACCGCGTCTGAAACAACAATTTTTCTGACGGATTGTCAGTCAGGTCGAGAATAGAGTCAATAGAAAAACATCTTTGAGCTTCCCCCTCTGTTACTGTATTTGGGCCGCGGTGCGACTCCATGTCTAGTGTGAAGAGCTCGGGCGTGAACTTCACTGGGTTTGGGGAAGAAAGACAGCTCATGGCCTCCCAGACAGCTCAAGGCATCCCTTCTTCCTGGAGGCCTTGCTGAGCATCCGACGCTACCTGCAGACCCACAACGCCACCGTGTGTGGCCGGGACCGACGGACCCCCACCTACGAGTCCTGGCGATCGATGTTCATACATGGCGCGGGAACCGCGGCTTCCGGGTGTGGTCCGGTGCACTGACCTTTCGCTGGTCGTTGGGGAACCGGGGTAGTGGGTAGCTCAAGGGTTTGGAGGAATACGCCATCCAGCCAGCCAGCCTCTACAGAGTCACTGCTGTAGGGCTTCCAGTGCTTGGCCAATGACCGACAAGTGAACAGACAATGACCAATGACCAATGACAACACATGTATCCTGCCAGTCGCCCAGTGACCCGACCTGCGCCTGGTCTTGTGACACCCAGCTCTCAGATCGTTCACGGCATTGAAAGCATTCAGAAGAGATCTTCATGGGTGGCCAACAGATTGCTTCCTCTTCAAGGAAAGAGGATCTTCATGGGTGGCTAAATCTTAACAGATTGCTTTGTGTACTTCCTCTTTCCTTTTTTACACCACGTGGGACCGGATAGTCGGTTTTCCCATGAAGCATGGGACCGGACTGGTCTTCTGAAGCCATCGTCTTTCCAAGCCTCAGGAAAATTGCTCTTCCAAACTCCATCAACACCATATTTCTGTTCGAGCTTTTCATCTCCCTGGTGCGACGAAAGTAGGAAAACGAGGGTCTCGCTTCGCCCCCCCGAAGTGAGCTTCCGGATTTTTGCATTCCAGCCCCGGATGTGCTAAAAGTTCAAAGTGGCACTAGTCAGCTTTATGCTCTTTGTCCCTTCGATGTGCGTTCTTGGAACACCCCAGGATCTGATGTTTTTGACCGCCTGGGGGCGGCTCTCGATGTTGGCGAGGGCCTGGACCGCGGAAGGTGCGACCAACAAACGACACCAAGAAGAACGAACGCAGCAGGTTGGGCGGGGGTCTGGTGGGTCTGGTCGGTCTGGTGTTTTGTATGGGTTTGAATTCTCGACTATGGGTTAGGCGGACGGTGGTGGACGTGTCAAGTCGGAGTTCTTTCGGTTTTCGAGTTACTTAGGAGGAGGTGACTTCTGACTGAACTGGGTGATTTATTTCTTCCAGGCTTAGGTCTTGGTCTTGGTATTTTGTTTGTATTGGTCTCGAAATGGTGGGTGGTGAGCGGTGGTCTGGTGACGGCCGTTGCGCTTCAAGCGGTCCACCAGTTCGTTGGAACGGCAACGACCAACGTTCCTCGCCTGTTCCCAGCTTGATGGAGGCCTCAGAGAAAAGGCCAACAGCAACAGAAACGTCTTTCCAGCAAGACAAGTTTACAGAAGTCAGAGATAAGCTCTTCAAAGTAGGCAAGTACGACATAGAATGAGAGCCGCTTGAGTGCAGATCACATCTTTATCTCAACGACCTTTTTCAATGGCGCTGATGAGTGGACCGGCATGTTTCTTGGCCCACCTTCGTGTAAACATTTCACCGGCACTTCCTCATGAGCATCACCTGGAGAAGAGGTGGGCCACTGCAGACAGACAGCACTCTTGTGGAACTGCTTGCCAACGTTGTCCTTGGCACCTCTTAGCGCTTGGAGCCCTTGGATCTTCAGGATCTTTGACAGCGCGGACGAGTGCCAGACGTGACCTTGGAGGTAGATGCAGCCGTGTGGCTCTTCGGTCTTCTAGGGCTGAACTGCTGGTGGATGGCGATGTGCATACAATGGATGAAATTCGAGAGGCTATCGCGTATTTGGAGATAGGAGGGAGGCATGTTCGTACCAGATTCTTCTGCGAGCCTGAGCGGGCTGACAACAAGAAGTGGAAGGAATTCTTTAAAGACATGAACATCGAATTCCAACCAGTTCGGCGGTCAGCTGATCTTTTGCATGAGGCCACTGATGAGGCAATCAGCCGGGCCTTGACAGAAGCTTCCAGTCTTGGCTTTGAATGTGTGGGCTTGGTCACCTCTGACTCAGACTTCATCAAGACCATACTTGAAGTGGAGCGCTCAGGAACTAGCTGTTTTGTGTTTGTCCCAGCAAGCAAAAAGTCGCTTGTTCGAGCGTTTGAGGTGGGCGGTGTTCGCACAGTGAGGCTACAAACAAATAAGGAATACAATGTGGGTCCCAAAGTTAGGGCTCTTCTTCATGAGGATGGAGCAGGCTCAGTGCAGTTGGCTGACCCTTTCCTTTACAGCGTCTCACGTGAAGTGTTTGATGCTCGCCTGGCAGTGGTGAAAGACTTTCTTGATGGCCTTGGCTACGGACGGGAAGGCCACACAATACAAAGCATTGCAAAATTCTGGTATGCAAATTGCGTTGGTTCGCTGGTCGTGTTTCCAGCTGCGTTGAGCCTGAACGCAATCGAAGAAGTCATCGGACCTGATTCACGGCTTTCATCATGGGTTCACTACACTGAGTTTGGACAGCTTGCATACTTTTTGCCCGCAACTCTTGGGGGCCGCAAGAGTAAGAGCAACGCCCAAACCTACGGGAACGCACTTTCACGGAGCATTTTCAAGGGTGGTGGCCCATTCATGTTGTCGGATTCGCCTCAGATGGTAGCGCAGGCCCTACGGCGTTTGGGGTACCTAGATGATGAGTTAAACGCGGATCTCCCTGAAGCAATGCTGTGTTTTGTGAATGCAAGCAAAAACAAAACGGCGCTAAGAAAACAAGGTTTTCTGCCAGCTCAGGGAGCGACGAACAGCAACATACAAGCCAAGCTTCGGGAAGCCTTTCTTTCAACCTCATTTACTGGGGTATGGCAGGTGAGCAAAGGCGATGGAGCAATGCAGGACATTCAGCGAGCTCTCCAGAGGGCCGGAGTTCTTGCAAAAACGGATTCTGGATACTCCAAGCATGAGACATTTGAGGCGATGAAGCTGTTCTCACAAACACATGGGCTGCCGAGCATGAAAACATATAATGGAATAGCTTGGAGGGTTTGGGATGCTCTTCGTGTGTCTGGGACGAGCCCGAGCAGGACTGCAGACGTCAAATTTTGAAGCGACTGCGGATGGAGCCTTTGGCTGTCAGGAAAGACCGAGCACCCTGGTTCATGTCTTTGTCGAAGGTTGCTGTGCTCCTTCTTGTCCTTCTTGCTCCTGCAGAAGGCAGTGCCCTTGCTCCTTCGTATGACTTCCAATAAGTTCTTCCGCCCTCCTTCCCACAGCGATCGGATCCTTGGCGACTGATCCTGCTACACACCACCATAGATTCCTTCTGTATTACCTTCCAGAATATAGGACTTTCTTGCCAAGGCCATCCTTATCATCCTTGTCCTCGATTCTTTTCCATGCTGTAGCGTGAGTGCCCTTGGCAGTTCATTGTGTGCTGTACGCTTTGGATCCACCCATGAGTGTATGAGAACGACCGTCCAACGAGTAACCCATGAAGACACGAGTGACGCACCGAACCACAAAGATGTTGGATCATTTGATCTACAATCGCCGTTCACTGGATGTACGACGGGGTGTTGGGATCCCCCAAAAACACACACTCCTATGCCAGGCCCCCCTGGAACAGGGGTGTCTATAACTATAGCTCCTTAGAGGTGATTCGGGGTATCCATGAACCACCCCCAGTTCGGCGCCTTTTGGTGCCGTTTGGCGCCTTTCCGACCTTTCAAGGCCTAAACCAAAGCCGTTTGACCTTCCTCGAGTCGCTCTTCCTTCGGGAGCCCTATGAAGCCAGCCACGTGCATTTGGTGTTGCACGTGCTGGCAAACCTGAGCTGCCCGGCGGTGACATGGACTTGGGTGCCGGGGGTCCGTGGGATTCTAGTCCTAGTCAAGTATTTCAACTCTCGGAGGAGTGTGGGAAGGCGCAAAATTTCAGAGTGTGGAACATCTCAAGTGGGTTCTATTCCTAGTAACTAGTATGTTCTAATTCTTAGGGTGTATTTTTGTCTACTTTTCAACTCAAAACCCTGCCTCGTGTTGCCAAGCTTCTCTTGCCCAAGCTGAGAAAACATCAACGGCCTGTCTATGCCCTGCTTTGGTGTTTTCTTTGCAGGCTTGGAAGAGCTGGTGGCGCATCCGCCCCCGCGCCACGAGCTGCGCTTGGAGCGTTGGCTCGCGAAGCGCCTGGAACGCTCCACCAAGCGTTCACGTCCACACGGCGGGCTCGGCGCGCGGGATTTGTGCGGGGCACGCGGGGCGGGGTGAGGTGGCTCGAGGAGGCCTCTGTGGGTGTTGAGCTCAAATAGGAAGACCGACACCAGGCGTTCCAACACCCTGGAAGACACACAGAAATCCCGTAGATCAGTCTACCCATCCAGGGCCCAGACAGGGGGTCTCCCTTCAAAATGCACATGCCTATAGGCTGTACTGCAACGCGTTGGACGAGTTTGAACTCTTCCTTTTGGACAGAGTACTTCTGTAGGCTGTCACGAACACCCGAGCGCTTCAGGAGCCAAGGAACATACTGACTGGTATGTCATCCTCTCCTCAAGCCAACCACGGCGCATGAAGAGGTCGTTTTGTTATACCCACCTGTACCCGTTCCACCTGAGAACAGAGACAGTGCGTGGGTGCGTTCCGACTCGCAAGTGCGCGCATCCAAACGGGGGAGTTTGATGAATCAACTGTCTACATCATTTGTTATGGTGCTTTTTCTGATGCGTTCTCACATCCAATACAAGTGCGAGAATGACATCACCACCTCGAATCCGAACTCCAATGATCGATATATACTGCCATACTTCTCCGAACGCACTCATCCAACAATAAAGGCTCGCAATGCAGGTGAACAAACATTCTCACGATTTAAATGGTACACATCAATTCTACATCTCCTTCATCTCGCCGTCAATATGAAGCTGAGAGTGAAATAGAAAAGGCACCTCTTCCTATGTTCTTCTCTCCTTCCACCATGTTCTGCCCGCCGAAAGTCCTTCCGAAAAGGCCACGCCACCGATCTGTCGCCGCCGATCCTTCGGGTGGCACCGGATCTGCTGCTGGCGCCCATCGCGCAAAGCCCCGCGGTGGAGAAGCGCCAGCTGCGCCAGTGGCATCTGCCGCTCGGGTGAAGCAGGAAGGGTTCGGCGAGTGTCGGTTTCGGCGAGTCGGAGGCTGGACCTCAGATGGTCTGAAGTAGCACTTCGTCACTTCGTCACTTCATGGGAGGCATTTTTTGGGCCCTGTAGCGACCGTTTTCCGACATGATGAAAGCTCCGAAATGATTGGGTGGAACTCTCCTATGCCACTTTGACGTACCAGACGCGCCAAACTTGTGGCAAAAGGGGGAGACGAGTACTTCTTTACCAAGTCTGTCTGTAGAGATGATTCTCCAATGCTCCAAGAATGGATCACTTGTTCGTCTCCAGGTTTCTCTGGTTCGTCTCCAAGAAGCGTCACAGATGTACGATTTTGCAAAACCACTTCTGACCTCGCTAATCACTTCTCTGCGTCTCAGTGTGAGGACATGCAAAGAGAGCAGCTCTTGCTTTGAGCAGCATGTGTTGTCGTTAGCCCAGAAGCAGATCCCCGAACGAGAGGCTTAGCTGCGCTTCAAGCGGCTTATCGTGTTTTTCTTCTTTTTGTTAATTTATTGGGTAAATTTATAAAGACTTTGGTAGCGGTGATGGGTCAAGTCCTTCCAGTGGTGTGTAACCGTCCGCAATATAAAGGCTTTGGTGTTCGAATTCTTTAAACATTGCTACTCATCCAAAGCTTTAGCCCTGCAAAACGCATATTTTTCGATTGCCAAAGGACATTGGACCGCGGCCGTTGCAACTCAAAACGGACGCCGTTGGTCTTGCAACGGCCCCAAAAACGAGTCGGCGGGTCGGGTTGAACCGGTCGGCCGTCGGCCTCACAAGCACAGACACACAAAACGAATGACCTATAACAGTCGGTAAAAGATGATCACCTTTTTTGTTAAGATGTCGGCCTGCAATCGTACCGGCCCCATCATCCTCCCACTGGACCCAGGGGATGAGATATACCTATAGCTACTTCTTCGTTTGCAGAAGTCGTGTCGAAGCACGAAGTGGGCAAATCGACCAAGAAGTCGTGTCTCAGGATCCCAAACACAACTTGGTGTTGATCTTCAACGACGACGATGGCGTGTGGGAAGGCAGTTGGAATGAGGCCAACCAGGAAGCCTTCCGTCGCTTAGAGACCGCAAAAGACGTGGAGTTGTGAGGCGCGAGGGCGAAAAAAGCGCTTTTGCTGACGGTGGAGAGGCAGGTTTGCTTCCCGAAAAAAGATATTATCCACCCAGATGAGCACAGCTTTGATATTGCAGACGCAGGTTCGAGGTGTCTATTTCCTTCAGGTATTGAATCTACCGAGCTCTGAACCATTGAGATTGGCCAAGTGAAACCTATGACACCTATGGATGGTGAAAATTCTTATGGACTTTGAGGGGGAATTGGCTCCGATGTGTTCCAGCTATACCAGTATAGCCGGCAAAGAAGATTCTAAGCCGCTGAATTGAGATGATTTCGGCCCTGTAACCAGGTCCCCATCATCCACTGGGTGCCGGGCATCGGTGTCGGAGGGCGTCGGACGGAAAGCTCCGGAGAACGGCCCAGGCGCGGGCGGCGCAGCGTGGCGCCCTTCGTGGCGCCCTTTCGGCGGGCCTTGTGGTCCGACTACTACGTGCGGACACCGGACACCTTTTTCTGCGGGTCGTGGATCAGATCGGGGGTGTGGCCTGGGGGTGGATCCAGGAAGAACTGAGGAGGCAAAATAGATTTGCTTGGATATTGAGATGAATCTGTGGTAGGAAGTTTTGGTGATCCAATTCCAAAGGCTTGAATCAAGAAGCTTGGCAATTCGATGTGTTGGGTTCTTTTTGTTTTCTCTTATTTAGGCAGTGTACTCTTTCTTGTTGACGGAAGTGTGCAGATACCTGCCAATCCATGCGAATTGCTGCACAGCACCACAGCACCACCACATCATCCCAACGAAGTCTATACCACCCACGGCAGCCGTGTGCAATCGGGAGACCCGGTCCGGACGGCCCCTCATGCAGTTGTGCACACCTTACTCCTCCGAGGCCGCTCGTCCGCGAGCACCTGATGGGCCTTTGGGGTACTGGCTACAACCGTTTGGGAGCCCTGAACTGACTGAGAAGTCCGCAGCCATGCTTAAGCAGTTTTGATATCAAACAGTTCAGGCCAGATGGGGTTCTTCTGCAGAAGAGACCCACTGGAAAAAGGAATACTTTGATGATTTTCTTTGCACCACTTATGCGGCGTTTTGGCAGGGCTCAGGAATCAGTGAGCGTTTTCTGCTGTTTGGAAACATCCGTTCATCTCCTGCCTGGGCGCATCCCACCGCTGTATGCGATCAGGGCCCGCCGCCGGCGAAAGGCTGGTTGGTTCAAGTGGATGCGGTTGATTCTGTTGGCATGCTTGATTGGGTTCATTCAGAACCAAGACTTCCAGAGTCAATCAACCCATTAGAAGGGCTAAAAAATGCTAGTGATGCGGGATTCTGTTTACGCATCACCAGCATTTCTTTAAATCGTTCTTTGCAGGCATTTGGGAGAACACACAATATGAAGGAGAATGGCTCCGACATTGCAAACACTTTCTCCTTCCTCCTGCTTCTTCTTCTTCATGCTTCGATCCCGACATGAAGATCATCGCTGTGGATCCATTGCACCTCTCTCCGCTTCGGCACTCGGGACCGGCACGTGCCGGCCAGGTGCCGCGGATCGCCGCGACGAACGCGGCCGAAGGCGGCGCCGGAGACGAGTCATCTGTTCGGGCTGTATGGAGGATCTGAGAGGGTGGACCTTTTGGTTGGAGATAGTTGTGGTTTGGACATGCATAGTCTGAACAGCTGGAACATTTCTTTGCCGATTCTTTGGAATGGCGTGCCCCACATCTCTGGTTTTGTCAAGTCGGGTCAAGTGGAGTGGTGCACTGTGATCCCCTCCAGTCCAGGTTGGACTGGACTGTAATTAGAAAGATTAGAAAACACATGAAATAACTCTATATAGATGCTGCAAATCATGGTAGATGAGATGAAACATTTTCAGTAGCTCCTCCGCTCATTTTCGGGGGAGTCTAATGGAGTCTAGCCATGTGCACGTGGTGGACAAACAAGGCACCTGACGTGATACACCGTTGGAGCTTCCGCACGATGAAGACCGTCAGGTGCTGGGCGTTCGAGGCTTGGAACCTTGGTGCTGGTGTGGGGCCTTGATGAAGAGTTTGGCCAAGAACAGCTGGATCTGTTGAGCACCTTGGTGCGGAACGAGGGTGGAGGTCTTGGAGATGCGGTGGAGGTCGTTTGGCAAAAGGGATGGGACACACGTCCAAGCGGATGGACTGATGGACGTGTTCGTTCTTTTTGAGAGCTGAACATGCTGAAGGAACTTTGATGGGTTGAGGAGCTCGTTGCTGCTCGTTGGGCTCATTGTGGGGTGTATCATACTCAGCAGTGGCACCCTCATCGTCCGCGAAGGGAGGCTTTGGTGCTCACGTCACATACTGTAGCATTCAAGATCATTCTCCTGTTGGCTGAAACAGGATTTTCTGTAACGCAGGCCTTCTCAAGAACGTCCAATTTGAGACATCCAGCAGTCAAACCATCCATAGCGCCCCATCATCTTCGGTTTTTTCTGATTTGGAGCCCACTTCCATGCTTTTTCAAGGAAGAGTCCGCTCGCATTCACCCAAGAAGGTGATAGTCTGATAGGCGAAACATGAATGAGATGACCCGAATTTCCTGTAGATCTTCATGCAACTCCAAGGTCCGAGGCCTGATGAACGGCTTTTTCCAGCTCACCATGAGAAATTCTTTCATGACTTAGCCGCTTTGCTTTGCGGGTGACATGCTCCGATCACTTTGGACAGAACCTCCTCGCTTCCTTCACACCCACTTCTTCACCCACTTCTCTTCCACTGGCATCGCCAGGACTTCCCAGACCGATCTTTGGGACTTCCCAGACTTCCCAGGACACCGAAGGAAGACCCTCTCGACACCGCTTCGGCCATCCGAACCGCCCCGAAGGCTCCGACGAGCTGCGCCGCGCCGAGACCTTCGACGCGCCGGGCGCCCGGCGGCGCTTCGCCCGGGGAGCCCAGTGGGACCGGAGCGGTGGGGCTGGTGGGCGCTGTGGAAGCGCTGCTGCTGTGTGGTCATGGCTCCAACCGGATTGGAAGGAATGGAAATACGAAAGCTTTCTCCATGGATGGAGCTGTATGAATCTGTGGAATTTTGCCACTTGTCTTCCTACCATGGAGCAACATTCATCTGAAGATGGGTACGAAACGCCTCAGTCGAGCAGATGTGAGTGCATGTCGCCGTGGTTCACTTTGGGAAGAATGGTTCAGGAGGTTCGAAGAAGTTTTGAAGCAGCTGCAGTTTTGACATATCTATATATAGCATATAGCTGAATCTAGCCGAATCTTGCGCAGAACGTATTTGACAGTGGCCCTATCCCATCAATGGACGCCGGGCCCAGAAGCCCTCAGACTGCTGGGCCCAGGTTTGGATGCGCGCGGCGCTGCGTGCAATCCTGGCAGAACGCCTAGGCGGAGAGTCTGCGTCACGTTAGCAAAGGATTTTCGACTTATTGTTAACAAGGAAAAGAGTGATCAAAGTTCAATTCATGTTTGAGACTTTTTGGCCAGCAAGCTCCGAGCATGTTGGCAGATCAAGGACCCCCTGCGTCAGCTAGGGTGCCACATGTGCTAGCGCCTGATGTTCGTTGGTGTGAAACAAGGTGTTCTCCCGCTTTTTCAGGTGGGGAAACTTGGGTTCAAGCTAATCAGTGTCAGAATTCCTTTGGGAAGCTCACGTAACTGCATCCATCTCCCCTCTACTCCACCCTGATCCCAGCGTAGCTTGGACCAGCAGCCCCCTGGGCAGGTGTGGAGCCACAAGAGCTGCAGTTCCAATATGGCCCACATGGGAAGCCCCTTGCCCGAGAAAACGCCTCATTTGGACCGGCCGAAGGAAAGCGTCCACCAGGACCTGTGGCGATCCACAGGGTCCATCCTCAGCAAGAGAAGGTCGAGGCCATGGGATTCACGGGTTCTGTTTTGGAGATCCAGGGATGGAATCCTCATCAAGCGCAGTAGCTGGAAGGGTCCCCGAACTGCACTGCGTTTTTAAAACGTGCCCGCGCAAACACCTCTCCCACCTGAGATGAAAGCAGACCCATGAGGACTGCACCATTGTGTAAACCATCAACGAATCAACTGCAAAGTATAAAAGATAGAACAACACCATACGACCCATCAAACCAGATCGCTGAGTTCATTCACAGAGAATTATGTGCCGAAGACGACGTTCCACGCGTCCTTCAGTGCTTTTCATGGGTTCGCTCAAGTTTGGTCTTTGGTCCGCAAGCCGTCGACAGTCAAAGAAGGAACTTGGATTTCCCTCGCAACAGAAGCAAGCTGTTTGAGCCTTCCTCCGGATCTCCGGATAGTCTCATGATCCCTCACCACACAACCCAACAGCCAAGCAGTCGGGAGTCCTTTCGACGCTCCAAGGCCAGAGTTGGCCACTCCTTGGGCGCGAAAGCAGCTGAGCTTCAGCGTGTCGCACTCGGGGCAGGCGCAGCCGCAGTTGAGAGGGTGCCGGAGAGCACATCAGTTCTGGATTTGGACCTGAATTCTGGGGTTTGGTCTTCGTTCAGGTCGTGGTTTTTGGCTTGTGCGGGCAATCTTGCTTTGGCTGGAGTGGCGGTTCTCCCATCTCAGTCAAGGAATTGGTAGACTTACAAATTAATAATTATAGGTTATAGGGTATTGGAATTTGGGAGGGCTTTGCATGCGAAGCAACACGTTTTCAGAAGGAACACTTCCTTGTCCTTTTCCCGCTCCAAAAAGCAACACCACTTGACAGAATTGCCCTCACCGTGCCCTCTCCTCGACTCCCCAGGTTTGGGTTTTCGAGAGCTTTCTGGGCCTTGCTGAAACCATGTGTAACCTGGACATCCAGGACACCCAGAAACATGTCTGGATGGAACTCCGCAGTCGCCATTTCCTATGTAAAGGATCTCAAGCTGGCGCCATATTGGAGCAAGCTCTCCTTCTGGATTGTTTAGGTTTCCAGGAAGGAGAGCTTGGGAATGCTTGTGTAGGAAGGGCTGAAATCTGAGACCGAATGTATCGACCAGAACGATCAGTGAAATCTCATATGTCATAGGCTACCTAAGACCTAAGGCATGCTGCTTGAGTAACTTGTGTTGTCAATGTGCCAAAGACATCAAGGAAAGTGCTCCTGGATCACAAAAGTGTTCCAAAAGGACATTGAATTGAAACCTACGCTTTTAAGCACGAATCTGTTCTTCATTTTTTTTTCCTGATATTCAAAGGAACTTCCTCCAGAGTCTTTGCATCCAACCTGTCTCTTTGGAGACTTTCCACTCGGTGCCCCACTTCCCTCCTCCTGCGACCGGCAGATTCGGCGGAATCAGGCGGGCGCGATCCTCTTCTTGGAGCCTGCGCTTGGTCCGCGGCACCCGGTTTTGGACGGTTTTGACGGCTTGTCTTGTAAAGCACAAGCAATGCTGGTTTGACGGCTTGTTATTGCCATGTGTTTTTAAAGCTAGCCATTGTAGAAGGTGTTGAGAACAATTTGATCCAGAATCCAGAAATGCATGATCACTTCTACAATGACACTCTGAAACAGACTTAGACTTTGCATGCAGAAGTTGTAGACCCGCCCCTTGCTCCTTCAAAGCCGCAATGTACCAGGTGCTCCCATTGGGCAGATTCTCACCAAAAGCTGCTCTGCACTGATCCATCCTGCACGGCGTTGACCAAGGCTCTGTCGGCGTTGACCTGGAAGAGCGTCGGCCCAGGCGCAGCCAGCCAGCCAATCTTCTCGAATCCATCGGATGGGGCTGTGATGGCTCACAACATCATTGATTGAACGACTCTGAATGTTCTCAAAAATAATCCCAAGTGCACTGAAACAGCGCTGGAGTCTTCCCGTTTTATGTGTTGAGCCTCCAGAAAGCTTTCTGTTGGTCCCATCTCAAAAGCTTTCTGCTGGCCACCAATAAGAAGCAGCCCATCCAGTTTTGCATCCCAACAACCCATCCATCACATGGATCACACCCCTGAAAACCCGCCTTTTCTTTCTTCGTTTCCCTCAAAACTCAAAGCCCCGAAGTTGGAGGCCCTTCTTACGCCTTGCGAAGCGCTTCTTCACGGCGGAGGAGGTCTCAGCCCTGCGACGCGTGGAGGCGGCCCGATGGCATCGCAGTGGTGGGAGCGCCCTGCGACATGAGAAAAGTCTGGAAGAGGGAATCGGAGAGAGGGAGAGAGAGAGAGAGTCAGAGAGCTATTCCAAAAAAGAGAGTCTGAGAGAGTCAGAGAGTCAGAGAGTCAGAGAGCTTTGGACTCGTTTTGAAAAAGCACTGCGCATGTGGTTGGAGCCGTTTGGAAAGCACCCAGTGGGCTGAAAAGTCTATAGTAACGTCATTGATGTTTCACTCAAGAACATTGTTAAGAACATTGTTCTTCACGCATCACTGCCCTCCCTTCCTCCCCTCGCTGGCCAGGAGACCGAGCTGGTGCAGAGCTCAGACTGGCAGCCATAACAAAAAGAAAGTGTTTGCTTGAAACACCTATGAAGTCAGTTGCCCAATGCGCTTGTTGTTGTCCTTTTTTCACGCTAGTGATGTTTAGTGTAAAGACACACATCACCTGCATCATTAACTGTTTGACACTTGTAGAAGTGCTCCTGAGAAGTTGGCAGACATGTAGAAAAAGGGAAGCCCAATAGACTCACCTTAGAAATGCTTGGTCCACCATGAACTGAATCTCAGGCTCATCACTTCTTCGACATGTGGACCAAGAAGGAGGCTTCAGCTCCCATGCTTTTCCTGGCTTAATCTTGTACAGCCTGCCATTGCGCGAAGGAGCCAAACGTTGGTGGCAAACGGACTCATCGTGCAAGCCCTGAGAGGGCAAGCCCCCCCGAGTCGTTTGACGCATGGATGCACCAGACTTCCCGAAAAATAAACCCGGAGTCAGTGTGAAAGGGATGGATGGGATGCCATTTTGGAGAAACTTGCCGAGACGAGTCAGCTTCAACAAATGCTTGTTTGGAAGGTTTTTCCTGGGCACCAAGCTTCTATACCTATAGTGATTGGGCGCACTGAAGACCGACTGCGGCGGCATGACAAGTTCCAAAACATGAATAAGAACTGAAACCTGAACAGACAGAAGAAACAGTCCAATCCCCCAAATTGACCAATTTGTGCTTCTATGCAATTTGCTTGGGATTCGGTGGTTCAATCTGCTGTCGGTGGTTTTTTCTGACTGTTTGGGGTTTAAGCACTTTCCTGTGATGCTTTGCCGCAGGCGTGGCTGAAGACGCTGGGGAGTGGCTTATCAGGCGCAAGATGATTTGGCCATTCCTGCGTTTGAGGCGTTTGAGGCGTTTGGCCTTGAGCCTCTTTTCTCACAAGGTTCCAACTCTTCTGCCAGAAAATGGTGGTGGCTCATGAGAGAGCTATTCACTGTGGATTCCAAGATCCGACCCCAGCAGTCGGTTTTGGCAGATGGACATCTCAGGACAGCCCCGGACCGAGTTTTTCCTCACTGAGCTGCTCCAGGTGGGCTGCGCTCGCTCGATGCCTCATCCTTGGAAGACGTGGAGATGAGTGAGGAGAGATGAGCGACCGCCGCCGGTTTCTGGGGCCGATATTTCTGGGATTTCCTTTGGAGCCAGCGTAAAGGGCAGTTCTCCTATTTCAACAGGCTTCCGAATTCATGGTTGACTTGCAGCAAACAAATTCAGGATGCTAATGATGCCAATATTTTCGCCATGAAAGACTTTACATTCGGTAGATGTGAAAACAAGCACGGGGCTCATCCGGCCCCATGTTCGTTGGTGACTTGGTTAATTGGTTTGAGCTTCTGCGCCGAAAACGCAAGGATTCCACGGTGGATTACACGGTGCTCGGAGCCCCAAAAAGCTCCACTAGACCTAAATCGTACCAGACTGTTGCGCTGCTTATTGCTGGCCTGATCTCTTTGCCAGGCATATGTATCGACAGCACATTGGTGATGCTTCGCACGGTTGCATCGACAGCACTTTCATGCCTTTCAACACTTGAATCTGCTCAACAAGGAGGGAAATCACGCTCAACAAGGGTGAAACACCTGAGTCTTTCATTAACACCTGAATCTACAAAAACGTGATCCAGCAAGCACCAAAGGGGGAACATCTTGTGGGACGATGTGTTTTCCAATACTTTGGTGTGGCCCATGAGTGCCGTTTTTCCGAGGTCCACCCTGAAGGGGACGCCGCTGCCCAATCACAGTTGGGCACACAGGCTCTGATAGCTCCAAGGAAGGTAAACGAAAGAGAACGGAGCTGCGGATGTGCGGCTCCAGGCAAAAACGCGATCACCTTGGATGCTGAAATCGAACGAATCTCAAACTGACACCGACTCGACTGGTGAATTTCATGAATCCACCGACTCGACTTCTGGTGAAGATGGACGTGACGAGGTGTCTCAGTGTCCATGCCAAAGGGAGTGCCGCTGAAGTTAGATCATTTGTCACAGGCGCGGTCCCCGCGGAAGGGCGGCGGGTGACGGGAGGGCTGGGAGGGCTTTGAGGGTTCACGGTGCCGGATAGGACACTCATGTGTGTGCAGAAAGAGATGGAACGTTTGGTTTTGGTAGCAGCTGAAGAGAGGGACGATGTAGCAACACACACATTCAATCAGGACAATGTAGGCTGACATTTTTTGCAGGTGCCTCATGTGTGTCTTTTTTCAATGGCAAAAACACATGGAGCAACCATGCATCAGGTGGGCTGGCCTCACCTCCTGCGCTGCGTCGGAAAATTGCGGCGGCTGAACACCGCGGAAGCCCAGTGAAGAAGTCAAGCCCCTCACCATGAAGAGAACTGCCCCTCACCACTTGCTGAGAGGAAGTAACCTTGGGTCGCGTGCAGAATGCAAAGTTTAGGAGTCCTTTGAAACAGGTTTTGTATGGTTTTGTTGGGAGTTTACTTTGGGAGGAGCAAGAGGTGCCGCTCCACAAGACATCCTGTGGGTTTTGCGAGGACTGGGGCACCGGGCTGAAAGCGGCAAGTGAGCGCAGTCCGCTCAAACCAATAGAGGTTGAAGGACCATATAGACTATCCTATAGGTACCCCAGGAGAATCCTATAGTTTACAAGGTCACTTGACCTCCCTTGGAACAAGGAGTGCTGAAGCAATCTACTGATTGGGCTGCAGCTCGCATCATGCGACCCTAGCTGCTAGCTCGTATTGAGCCACCAAGAGATAGAGATAGGACAGAAGCTTGCTAATTCTGATGACACCAGTTCTGATAAAGGACGATGGTCATGTATGCCAGGACTCCTGGGTGGCCCAAACTTCGGGACTCCACATGGGACTCGATGCGTCGTTTTTGAGAGTTTCTGGGTGGCCAGGTGGATGCACAGGTTTTCCCAGAACTCTCCTGCGTTGGCTATGGATCCCTCGTGCAGCGGCAGCGCAGGTTTTTCCCAGTATCTCGTTCTGCTCAAGGTTCCTCATGATATGTGAAACGCAGACCTGAAAACTTGCAGCCACTCATCATCACGATTGGTTATTAGTTATTAGTACCGATGAGTAAAAGTCGTGAAGATACTTCAATGCTTGAAATGACTTGCTGAGGCTCCATAAAGCCTTTCCAGACAGGTCACCGTGCAAGCTCCCTCACCAGATCAATCGAAGCGACAGTACATGCGTGGCACTGGGGGGGGGACCTCGTGGCCGTCAAAACGCATTCGTCATGGCAGAGGATGCAAGGTTATTGCCGTGGGACTCAGTGGGGCCATCGCGTGAAGGAATTGGGTCCGTTTCGTTCACTTGGATAAGAGAATCTGTGCTTGTGCATCTTGCTTGCGCGAAGAAGTTTTCTTTATTTTTTCTTCGCGCAAGCATGGCATCCATGGCACACCAACATTTCCGTGGTTTGGCCTTGCACACCAAACATGCTGTGGGGGGGGGCAACATATTGGAGCAAGAACGCCACGGATATGAATCCAACGTTTCTCCAGAGTTGTTCTTCCTTGAGAGAAACGGTCATGGAATATTGCTTCTTACTTCAAGACATGCTCTTGCTCCTGTCTCTCGCTCTCACCCTTCTTCCTCCTTCTTTTTTAATTGCGCGGCCGGGTTGAGGAGACCCTTTTGTTCCATGGGTGGGAAAGACAGGGAGAACTGAGTTCTGCAAGCCATGAAAACCACCCTCAGGTATACTGTTCTGTTCTTGGTCGGTGGTCTTTTGCCCAAATCCCAAACGATCAACCTCAGGTCGTCCATCCAGTTTCTGTACTTCGTTTTGGGAGGGACCCTTGTTGAACGGACCAATCGATCTTTTAAATGGTTGACCCATCCATCCGAAAACGCCTGTCGCGGCCGGGTGACTTTTTTCCGGTGGTGGACCTTGCATGATTCCAGCGCAGTTTCGTATGCCAAAAAATCATCCAGTTTCAATCTGTTGGGCGCAACTGGTCGGTTTTCAGAGTTGAATGCGGAAGCACATCGGTCCATTTTTCTGCGGAAACGCAGTGAGTCCAGTCACCGGATGAACGGCGCCGTTCTTTGATGGCTTGAACTCAGCTTGCAGGCGCATGGATGTTGTCCTAACACTTTTTAAAGCCTTGTTTGAGCTATCCAGTTCTGATTGTCAATTGTGTACACAAACGACGATCTATTTTTTTAGTTTTTCCGCAGCTTGCGTTCCAGAATGGAAACAAGAGAGTAGTGAAATGCGACCGTCCAAGCACTTGCCTGCATTCAGGGGCATAAAGGGGGGGTACCACTGACTGTGAGTGCTGACATGCTGGATGAACGCCTCTCAACACAAGGAGACGGGTATTCTTCTTGTATTTTCTCGGCGGAGATGGGGTTTTGGCAAAAGAATTGGCTCGAGCCCTGCTCTCGAGCACCAACTGTGCATTCGGGTCCCACATGCACACGCTCTGGTCACGAGGTCCATTCCCAAGCGGCCCATGTTCGGCGCCACGGATGTTGGCTACGTCCATACCTCAAATATATGGAATCTATCCCTACATTGACCTGAATGCCACATGAAACCACCCCAACTCATTGGCCAATCCTGGTGAGCCCATCAACTCTCTGGGAATCCTTCGATGCTCAGCTTCCGTGGGACTTCCGTGGGCTGAAAACAGCTGCACTGCTGCACTCGTTGGGACGATCGGCGAAGCAGAAAAACGGTTTGGTCTTCGTCCTGCGGTGAGGAGCCATCAAGGATGCCCAGGGCCTCTTGCAATTGAGCGACTATGACGATCTGAAGGCCCTCATCCTGGACGAGGCGTGGCGTTCGGCGAGCCCCGGGTCCCGGGTGGGGGACGTTCGTTCGGGTGGAAGCCTCGAAGCGGCGAGCCGCGGGGGGTCTAAGGGCCACTCCGGGTGCGCGGCTGGCCAAACGCACTCCCCAACCTCGTCCACCTCGTGAAAAGGCCGTGACAAGGCTCCGGCCATCCCTCCGTTCGTGGTGTCATCGGCGCGTGGGTTTCTCTTGCTCCGTTCGTTGGCAGGCGGAGTTGGCGGACGGACGGGAGGGTTTGCTGGCGCAAGAGGAGCTGCCCGATGGCGTACGGAGGTGGAAAGACGAGAAAGGCCGGAGTGGTGGGGTGGTGGAAGGGAAGGGAAGGCTGGCCCGGGTGGGTGGAGTTCGTTCCTGTTTCCAGGGGGCGGTGTGGTTTTGAATGGGGAGGTTGCTTCAACAGAAGTTGGTTCTGCCCCGGTTTCAAGACTTCAAGAAAATTGGAATGATTCGTTCTGTTTGTAGTTAGATTATCGCGCTTGGTGGTTGCAGGTATTTGTTTAAACGTTGGAACCGTCAGCCCCTTCTTCTCTTTTCTCATGCGTAAAATTCATGCATCGCAATGAATCCGGCATTCTTGGCCTCTTCCTACCCCAAAAAAGACCTCGTCTTCACGCCGAACAGCGGAGTCCTTCTCGTTCACCCCGTTCGAGTCACTCACCCCGAGTCCAAACCCTCACCGTTCTCGTTCACCCCGTTCGTCCGTCGTCCGAGGCGCCGGGTGGGTCGCGCGGCATCCCAACGGCAAGGGCACCCGCTGGTTCAACAAGACCGTTTGGAAGAGCGCCTTGGTTGGTCGACCGGTCGACGGACGGACGGTCCGGAGGGGTTTGGATGGGCGCGTCACCGTCCAAGCGAGGTCCAACGGGCGGGTGTGATGGATGGTGAGACGAGAAACCGGAGAATGGAGCCTCATGGAGACCATGGAGTAGGGGTGGAGAAGGGGTGGAGAAGGGGAGTTCAGGACTAGGGACGTGTTGAGTTCAGGGGACTTTGATGCTTTTTTGAATGAGGTGTATTTTTGGGCCCAAAAACGGGTGTATTTTTTGACAAAGGCGGCGTTGAAGTGAAGTGAATCAATGACACGGTTGAAAGAGCTGGGAGTCCAAAATAAATTGACTGAGATCAGTTGCTGAAATTCGCGCGCGGTATCTGGTTTTGAGCCTGTTGCAGTGATGAGCCGATTGCGCACCAAAAGAAACAGAAGTGTTGAGAACTAAAAAGCACGAGGTGCAGACATTCCACAAGACCCCAGCCTCCACCCGCAGCCACCGATTCTCCCTTCAGCTCCTGCCAGGCGTGTCCGAATGTCAACGGTTGATGAGTCGGCTGGACCTGTATCTGCCAAGTTTTGCCCAGGTCAGACGGTCAAATCCCCGGCGTGAGACCCTGTGCCGCCACGGTCTTTTCTTCCTCGGTCCCCCTCCCCGTCGCCTTTCTTCGGACCATCGCAGTAGCTGGTCCGGCGATGGGTGAGGTTGGCGGATGGCCTTCTTGTTGGCGCGGCTCCAGCGCGATTTGTGGGGCATTGTCGACGGCCAGGCTTGGTGGGTGGAGGCTGCACCACCAAGGAACGGTCCTGAATTTCGGGAGCGGCCTTCTTCGGTCGAACGCCGGGTGGACCAGGAGGAGGTGGGCCCATGCAACGTGTGCCCGTCGATGGGCCCATCTCCATCAAGGGTCGACCTATGGGTGGGACCAAGGTTTTCATGCTGACGGGTGTTTTTCGTGCTGAGATGTTTTTCAGCGGAAAGACTGACGGCCGACAAACATCGGCGAGGTGCTTGTCATATAGATGCCCGAAATCCACAGGTGCAATCTTGGAGCCTGGTCGTAGGTGCTTGCTTTGAGTGGAAAAGATTTCAAACTGCAGAACTCCCAATGACTTATTCCACCTGGAAGTCAAAATCCCCTGGGGTTCGAACCTTTTTCCTCAGAAAGTGGTGTCTTCTAACCCCCTGGCACCCAGCCCAACCATCTTCTCAGGAGGTATAGGCCAGGAGCCCTAAGGATCCACCCCTGCAGGGTTGGCAGGGTTGGGGTCAAATAAACCATCCTGGACTCTCCTCGGCTTTTTCTCGTTTGCTACCCGCTTGAGACGTGGAAGTTGGAGGGACGTGGTCGATGAGTTCAGTGATGACTCATTTATACTCATTTGACCCCCATGGTAGTGGAGTAGTTCATTTTCGTGTCCAGTTCCGGAAGTGAGTGGATGGGACACGCATCCGGAACGACGCTCCGTTTCCACCCCGCTCGACGACGCTACTCGGTCTCTGGCTCCGCACAGTGGAACCACCGAGTGCCGCGGTTTGGAGATGGGGAGAGCGTGCGGTTCGGGAGTGGAACTTGTGACCCAAAACCCACCAAGCTACGACCCAAACATACCACAACCTGCCACCCCAGCGACCTGGAGGATGAGTTGAGTGGGTTTTTTAAGGGTTTTTGGAAGCGCCCAGGAACCTGAGAGTTTGAGCGCCCAGACCAGGTGAGGGGACCTGCTAGACCTGGCAAGGGAGTTCTTTTTGGCATCAGAAAGTCCTTCCTCAACTTCTGAAGAAGCTCCTTTCTTGGTTCATTTTCTTCCCATTCAGGCATGTGGAAGTCCAGACCCCGCGGAAGAGGTGAAGGAGAAGGACTGTGTGGCTGGAAGTGGTTCAGCGTTCCTTCAATCCATGTCCAAGCACGGCCTACGCCAAATAGATAGCCTTTTAACATTTTTAAATAGCTCAGTTAGAACTCCAGGCCCGAAGGGCCCAAGGTAGTGCGGTTTGTCATCGGCCTCGGGTCTACTTTCCTTCTTTAAAGGAGGGGCTGACCCCTGGGCGGGGTAGCCTAGGCCCGAGGTCGAAAGGACCTCGTCCATCCCAAGGTCTCTAAAGCCCGAAGATCTCCTCCAAGTCGCCCCCGACACCCTCAGGAGGTCGAGCGCCGTGGCTGGGCGGAGCATCGGTGTTTTCCGCTTTGGCGCAGCGCGGGTCTTTCACGCGACCGACCGTTTGGTGGAGGGTTTTAGACCCCACAAGAAGCGCTGAACGCTTGGCAGTTCGGGGTGCGAGACGTCTCACCTAGAAACACCGCTGGGCCGTGGAAGATCGAAGGATGGTTCACAGAGACCGAAACCGTTTCAAAGCAATCGAGGCATCCCACTGACTGAGTGTTGATTGATTTTCTTTGCAAGGTGAGTGTTCATTTGTGGAATAATCCAAGAGGATTGACCTGTCTGAACAGGATTGCAGGAAGAGTTGCTGGCTGACAAGTGCATTCTGTTGTGCTTCTGTTCGTTTGAGAGTACGCAAAAACATGCTTCGATTTCTTTGGCGGGAAGTGTGTGCTTTGAGGGTCGTCAAAGTATGAAAAACCACCATTCACAAATCAGCACATTACATACCAGGACCCCCAAGGGGTGGTTAATGGACATCCCTTAACAGCTAAGAGGCTATAAATAGACACCCCTTGGAGGGTCCTGGTAGTATTGATACTTCACCATGCTTTACCATCATCACCAATCACCACCACGTCACATAAAAAAACACACGGACCACACATGACAAAAATCACCAGCACGTTCATCACGCTAAAAAAAGCACCAATTGTTGCATTGGAAATTCACCAATCATCTCACGCCGTGAATCACCACAGCAGATCACCACATTAGATCACGAAGCACGCTAAGCTAGCTTCCTCCGTTTCAGGGGCTTCACACCTTTCTACCACTCTTAAGTCTTAGGTCTTATATCCACCCAAACAGCGGGTTGACCGCTGACCGGCTTTACATCAAAAGCTTCAATAAGCTGTTTGATTGATCCACTTGGATGAGATTGCTCAACAGGTCAAGGATTCCCAAAGCCATCCACACAAACACAAACACACAAAACATCACAATTTGCGCTTCTTTACAGCAACACCAGGCAAGCGGGGCCGGCCGCCCAAGAGTCCTGGAACACCAGGCGAGAGCGTCGTGGATTCGTGGATCTTCGTTCCTCAGATGGTTTGTCGATCGAACCAAAACAAGCAGCTACTAGGAACAAGGGCCAAAAAGCTGTCATGTGCTCTGGTGGATTGGCCAAAAAGCTGGGAGGGTTGAGAGCATTAACCAGCCATTCATAGATCATTCACCAGCCATTCACCTGCAATTGAAGTCTTGGTTTGGTCAACTCTTGCTGTGGGGGTCTCGCTCCAAACTTTAAATCAGACAGTTGTTGACACATGTTTAAACAAAAAGCAGGGTCAAGCACATCACATGGAGACTCAAGCAGTCTGAAGCAACAGTGACCACCTAGATATCGTGATCTTCTGTCAGATTGATATACACAACTTCAACCGCAGATTTCAGGACTCAAGACCAACAACTTCAACCAAATCTTCCTGTCTTGAATTTCTCTCACAGAACTGGTTGTCCGATTGTCCTGAATCTCCACACCTTTTTGTTGTTGTCTTGTCTTGTTGTCTTCTTGTCTTGTTTCTCCACTGTTGTCTTGTTGTCTCCACACCTTTTTGGGCTTCCAGTGTCTTCTTCTTCCCTCGAAGCCCTGGCCCCCTTCGCAGCATCCAGCGAGCGAGCTACTTCAACACGTCACGCCGCGCGCGCCGCGTGAGACACCAAGGACGTGCCCCCGCAGCTCGGACGAACCATGGGGAACTCGACGTCGTTACAGCAAGAACCGCCAGCGACCACCAGCGACCGCTGGGCTGTCGTGGTTGTGTTTGATTCAACTTTCTTCAGTGACTTATCCTCCAAAAGGCTTTGTGACCCAGCATCTTGGACGGCCTTTACTGCCTTCAGTATCAACCGAACAAAAGGTTTGCAGGCCTTCTGTAACACAACCAGGTTGGTGTCACAGGTTGCATAGGGAGACTTCATGACCTAGCAGTGGTCGGTATATATACTTGTACAATGCAGCAAACCTTTGTTGCAACCATGCCATTCTCGGGATCACCCAACATATTATGGACTACCCCATCGGTATTTTATATAGTAGGGTCCCATAAGGTCACTTAACCTCTCTTTCCACTGTTTCGTTGCTCAGTCTGTGTTAGCCAGGTACTCCACGTGCTTCAGCTGCCGGCAGCTCCTCGCGCGGGCGTGGGCGTGGGCGCGGGCTCAAGCGGCCCGCGACGGAGGCGGGGGGGCGGGGCTGGGGCGGGGTCTTGGGGCGAGTCAGCCCTCCCCTCAGCCTGCAAGCCTCAGGTATCACACCCAGTTGCACCCTGTTGCACACCCAGGTCTCAATGGGTGTCCGTGAGTCCAACCGATCCCCGGTGAGAAGCAGCACATGTGGTCAGTCCTTTGGACCGAAGTAGTAACAGAAGAGTGACAGTAAGAACTAGCCTCACAAGTGAGGCCCAGTAACCCTTCCAGGTCAAACCCTTCCAGGGTTCAGTAAAAGATTGTGAGGTCAAACCCTTCCAGGTTGACATTTTTCACTCTTCTGTGAGGCTCAGAAGCCGAAGAAGGCGCCGAAGACAGCGCCGAAGAAGACACCGAAGGCGCGCAGCCCGTCACGCACGGCGCCCACACCAGCAGCGCCCACACCAGCAGCGCCCGCACCAGCGGTGCCTCCAGTGCCGCGTGGGCGGGAGGAGAAGCTCCTAGGCTGGGCTGGGCGTGGTTTGGGGAGCTTGATGACATTGTTCAGCTTTAGTTGGGAACGTGTGTGAGGGGTTTTGGATGGGATTTGAGAAGGCACGCGAGGAGCCTGGCATGTGAAATCTTCACTTTTTAGGTTGATTTTGCATCCATCTTAATGCCTCGGCGAAGTCGAAGTACCTTACTAATAAAGGCGCTCGTTTTGGTTGTTCTAGGACAAAACGAACGGATCCTGGAAACGCCTAGCTTTGAATGCTGAGAAAGCCTTTTCGGTCGCATCTGGGCACCTATAGTCTCTTGCCAAGCGACCGAGAATCCTCCATTTGATGCACGCACTTCGCATTGGGTGATGATCAACCTAAAGCACTTTTAGCTGGGCTGAGCTGAGTCGCGGCGCCGAAGTTCACGATGATTCGACCAAACAAATACCAACCTCTCACTTGGAGATTCATTTTCACTGTTTTGTGGTCAAATCTATAGTATTGGACCTTCATGGCTCTGTCTGGTCAAGGCCACTTCCTCAACACACCCCATGATAGTGATGGACAGACTCAAAGCAGTTTTCGTCAATGTATGGTAGTTGAAGCGAGAGAAACCTATACCCAGACACGACACATGGGACTGGCATATTCCCATGGGGCCTTGGGCTGGTTGAACAGAGGTCTTTCTGGGGCGGCATGCTTCCAGTCACATGGAGTGTTTTGGGATACACTGATTTCATGTATCATAATTAGATATAATTAGTGTATCCAACTATTGCTTCACTTTCCAGCATGTTTTTGGACTTTGAGCTTCAATCCCTCGGTTGGTCGCGCGCACACCATGTGGGACTGGCTGCTGGCTTAGGTTGGCCGCGCACATCTTTCAGATTGAGGATGTGAACAAAACTATTTGTTTGGACCACACAAATCAACAAATCGCGAGTCAAAGGATGTGCAGCAAAAGGATGTGCACAAAAATCAACAAATCAATGACTCTCAAATCAAAACTAACAAAGTCTTCCAAAGGACGACGTGTGACGCTTTCGGGACACCGCTACAGGCGGGCGACATCGAGCGCTGGCGCTCTTTAACCTCCGCACCGAGTGGGGACGTGAGGCTTTGGCAGGCAGGGCGCCCGCGCCTGGCGCACACCGTCGAACAGGTGAAGCAGGAGTTCAGTGGAGAAGCCAGGAGTTCCGTGTTGGGGACCACCCCTAAGACCCGTCCAGTGAGTGGATCATGGGCACCTCTACCCTCCAATAAGCACTCCGGAACTGCCAGACCTGTAACAAGTTTTGGACAGTTGCGGAGTGTCCCGCTTTGTTGTCCTGGCTGGACATCCCCTACTGACCCAGTCGGAGTGATCAAGAATCAGCCTCTGACGAACACTGGTCCTGAAGAGAAGACCTTTCCTTTACGACCGAACGGTGAACACCACGTGTCACCGTGTTTTCTGTGTTCAGAGTGTAGCGGTTTCGCTTGCCCCCCCCCAACAATCCCCCATCACAACGGTGAGAACTCCTCCTTCCATGTGACTCTGTGGGTTTTCGGCGCGACGAGCCCCGAAACTCGTCCAGCGAGGTTTTGAGGCGAGTACTCGTCCACGGTGGATTCCTGATGGGTGATGTGCTTGGACGAGAGTGCCAACCTCACGCCATGAAAGAGCGAAAAGCTGAAAAGCTCAAGAAAACCCGCTCTGCCAGCACTGCCGGCCGCTCTGCCGGCCCTTTCCTTCGGTGAAAACAACTCCGGACACTTCCCCCCCACCCTCCAACCTAACAGCAATTGGCCTGGCAACCAAACCTCACCTAGCGATGCACGATGCGATACGATGCGTGAAACGGAGACCTGGGACACTTTCCTCCCCCCTCCAACCTCACCGTTCGGCGAGGCCTGTTGAAGGACGGCTTCGCGGTGCTTCATGGCGTCTTCACTCCTGCGGAGTGCGCCTCGCTCGCTCAGTGCGCTCGGTGAAGGAGCCCGGCGAACAGAGCCGGGAGGTGAAGGAGGTCGGCACGGCTGAGCGTTTTGGATTGAGGTTGGTGGAGAAAGCACTTAAGGCTGAAGTGAGTGTTTCTTTGCACCAATTTTGGGTCCATCAATGAACATCTCAACACACACACATACATACACGGCTTCAATTGCTTGGCTTCCTGGGCCCTGAATGGCCATGACATGGGACTTCGCCACCGGACCTGGTCACGCGACCCTGACCCTCCAAAAGTTCCAACAAAATGGCCCAGGTGACTTGGCGGTGGATAAGATCTGGGACTTCGCCACGGGACGGTGTCCCAACTTGGACCCCAAAGAGGCGGAACGTTTTGCGGGAGCGTTTCGCCGGTGCGGCAGGCGGTGCGGGTAGCAGTGGCACGTTGCCCCCCCACCAGGGACCACAGGTGTTTGCCATCCAACAAGCATCCAACAAGGGTGGTGTTGGTGTTCTTCAAAGTTTCCAACAGACTTGCCAGGATTTTAGGAGCATTCTTGTGGGCAAACACCCACCGGCTCGCGTGCAGCGCTGCAGGAGACCACCTGGAGCAGTGAGAATTGGTCGCAGGTGGCTCGTGGGAAGAACCTCTGTCAGCTTCATGGCGCCGGTTGGGTTTTGTGGGAGGACGGCCTCTGGTCGCGACCGTAGTCATCTGTGTCGTGTTTTGGTGCGTTGCGTCTCCCAGTCGTAGAGGATCGTAGAGGTGTCAAACAGGTGTCAACAGTAGTGCCCCGTCAAAGCCCATGAACAGAGAGGGTTGACCGTTAAAGTTTGTTGTTCATAGTGTTTTACCGGGTGTATCTAATACCATTTTACTGGGTGTACACTTGCACGCTAGTGAAACGCCGTCCGGTCCGCAGCGATGGGGACGATCGGAGCTGGGACAGGAGCGGCTGCGCTTTCGAGAGCGCTTGGTGGAACGGGGCATTTATGCCGATGTGCCGCACCACGCGAGCTGCTGGGTGAGGAGCTGGTGTGCGGACCAAGAGTGTGTGCTTGGTGTGAAGAAAACAGCACACCAACAGAGGTGGGTTGAAGAACCCTAGTTCGACTATGCCATAGGTCATTGAGGTGACGGGTCCCTTTTAAAGGTCACTCTTAACCTCTCTTGGCGTGGTGGAGATGGACCTGGATCTGTGGTGATCCTCGATCCTTTCATCTCTGGAGATGGTGAGGGCGCTTCGGGTTATCTTCAGCGACGCCTCCAGTCTGGTCCGGTCTGCTTCGGAGGCTGGTCCGGGCATCAGACCTTGGTCGGGACGTGTCTGGATGTTAAGGTTTGTCATTCAAACCTTGTTTTGGGCGGTGGTCAGAGATACAGACGATGAGGTTTTTCTTCACGGGGCGATCTACATTGTGCCACCTTTCTCAATTGAAAGAGCTGCAAGATCCACGAAGCTCCTGGCAAGAACTCGGTCTCGGTAAGTGGCATGGATCCAGCTCGATCGAAGCGAGGTTGGGATGGCTTCCACTTTGGGCGGCCTTCACAGAGACTTTGGGGAAAGTCTCATTGGGATCATACGGATCAGGCGACGTGACGTGGACATGTTTTATTTCTATTTTTCGGTTCGACATGGTCGTGACGGTCGTGAGCCCAGTGTTTGCACTGCTTATTGTGGGCCGTGCCACTACCGGACTTTGGATCGCGTCGCGCAAAGGGAGGGCTGGCCAGGGGTTGTCTCAATACTGGTTCTTCCTGGCAGGGAAAAGGGATGGTGCTGGGGATTTGTCCGGTGGACCAGGTGCCGACAAGTTTTATTGGGCATTTGCGACAATGGAGTGTCACATGCTGCTTGGTGCTGCTCCAGTAGGGGTTTGGGGTTGGTGGGTGATAAGTTTGGTGGTGTCAATGGAGCTGTGTTGTTCTTTGGATGATTGAAGTACTGACACGTGACGTGAAGGGGACTTCCACATTCGGTGAGAGAAAATTGTGAAAAGTAACATTCCCGGAACCGTGATTGAACTGAGACTGAAAATGTTTTCATTTTTCTCGACTTCTAGGATGCGAACTGCCGGTGAATTGCGGGTACTTTTCACTCGCCGCAAGGTGCTCCTCAATGGGGAGAGCACGGGGTGCACCTGGATCCAAGGCGTTGGCACGCGCCGCGGCAAGCGTGTGAACGGGAGCGTGTGGGTTTATTGGACGGAATTGAGTTGAAGGTCAAGTGAGTTGGAGCTCTTTGACATGTCACCTTGAACAACGAAGGAAGTGTTGCGCTTGTCGCCCGCTATCGAAGGATAGGCACCATAGTGAGCGCTGAAAATCCAGCATGCTCAAGACCACAGGGCAACACTCATATGCTCTTTTTGGGTTCAAGATGCCGTGCACTGCGACCCTTTTGGAGGCCTTGTGCAATTGAACGACATGGATCCTGCCGAAGGGCCAGCCTTCGAGTGCTCCTTGGGCCGCAGTCTCCGCCGTCTCCGCGGTTTGTCCGTCGTGCCGTGGCCGATGGTTTTCCACGGCGCAGCACGGTGCGCCGTGGTGCGCCGTCCTCCCAGGCTGGCCGGGCTCGCAGCAGGACGACATCTTTGTGCCGCTGCAGAAGACGGCAGGCAAGAGCGCACGACGGAGGAGGGCGAAGCCAGCGACATGGAGGACGAATCGGTGTGCAAGGGAAGGAGAATCTACACGCCCTCGTTCGATGAGTTCCAAAAAGGGGTGAATAAGAAAGACCCTACTAGCGATGGCCTCCAACCTAGCTTCCTACATACTGCATGCTGGTGACCAAAACCAATCTTTATGCAAGTTTCTAAGTGACTCACCACTGACCTGACCTCATGCTGGTTCTGCCTGCCCTTCGGATTCGGCCGGCCATTTCACCGTGTTGGACGTTGGAGCATCGGACCTTTGCGATTGCAGTCGGCTGTTGCCGACGGCTGCACGCTATGCAGCGAATTGGCAAACTCATTCTAAACCTCGAGCCCCTTCCATTGCCCCTGGTCCCATTGGTGCTTCCATGTTAAAAGGGGCAACCAACTTCTCAATCGCCTCTTGGTTGCTTCGTGGAAGCGGCTCAAGGATTTCACCACTCCAAAATGACCATCCCAGACACACAGACGCCAACCATACAGCACTTCCTGTTACCTTTGTCCATTTCTTTGCTCTTCCCGACTTGACCTGGCACACACGTCCCCACCCAGTTGCGTCGCCGGCCCAGCCACCCTCACACGTCCCCGTCGACGCTCCGCAGGCCTTTGCGAAGCGACGCCCAGCGGGAGCAGCTTTCGGCTGCTGACGGATGCTGGGCGCGGGTGGCTTCAGGGCAAGGGGCTTCAGCGGCAGCGGGTGACGGTGGGCCGCTGGGACGAGGAACGCTGCGGGCTTCGGATGAGGATGGCATGGGAGAGGCAATGGCTGGGGAAGGCATGGTGGTTCACGGTTCATTTTCCAGCGAAAGGTCTTCACCGAACTCACATCACCAGGCGCCAGGGAGGCACGAGTGCCTGACGCCCGGGACACACGGGGTTGGTTGGACAGAGGATCCAGCGACCCAGAGGGAGTCGCCACGAAAGGGGGGTGGGATGAGGTTGGGTTGGATGAAAAAGGATGAGGCCTTCTGTAAATTTCAAGACATACAATTCAATGTGAAGCCTGCCCTTTTGAGTTTGAGGTGAAGACCTTTCGCTGGATGCCAACGAGTTTGCGAAAGACCCAAAGATGCCTTGCCTTCTGCCCAAGTCTGGGTGTTGCTTTTTTTCGGGCTCGGCGACGTCTCCTAGCCTTGTTGTTCTCCGAAAAAGAACTGTCCAAGAACTGTCCAGACACATTCCGTGGCCATCCGTCCACTGGCCTGTCCATCCGTGGCACATCTATCTCCATCCGTTCCCAGGTCCAGGCAGAAAGAGAAACTCCAGGTCCAGTCTCCACCAACCACTTGTCCTTGTTCAGCCGTGATCCATCTCTCCACGGCGCTCGCTCCCGCCTGATCTGCCCCCAAGGTCCGGGTGACGTGATCCTCTGGGATTCCCGCCTGGTCCACCAGGGCGGGGCGCCCGCCTCGGCCGACGGCTCGCGCGCGAAGAGCGCTGGCGGACGACGGGTGCGGGGCTGCTTCGGGCGGATGGTGCAATACGTCTGTTGCTTGGGCTGCACTGCACCAAGAGCTGCCACTCAGGCTTTCTTTCTTCAAATTACTTTCCAGCAGAGCCATTTTGTTTGTTTTAGCATGCATTCTTTCTTTGAGCATGCTTTTTGTTTGTGATTGTTATTGTTTGTCTAGTTATCTAGTGTGCCCAGCCCGGCCCAGTGGCTCATGACGTGGGCAAATCAGCTGTGCGCAGTGGCGCCCCGCCCCTTTCTACCGCCTAGACCGTTTCACTGTTCTTCTCATTCGGTGTTCTTCCATCCGCTCCTTCCCTGAAAAACCACCAGAAACCTGGAAACATACCACGGCCCCCTTGGTTTTTGAGGTGTGTCTATCCAAACGAAAAGCCGACGTGTTCATTTTCACACCACCCGCACCAAAAGCTGCTGGTCCGACCGGCCCACCCCAAACACCCAAAGAGTTCCTGGCCAAACCTGGCCCACATCCTGGCCGCACATCCTGCCCAGGTTTAGGTCTGGCCGAGTTCACCTCGCCCTCGGTGCTTCAGAAGCGCCGGAAGTGCTTCGAGTCCGGTGGCGACGCCGTGGCTCGGCGGAGGGGTCGCACGACGGGAACCGCGTGGGACGACGTTGGCTCGGTGGCTTGGCTTGGGGCCCAGCGACCTCGAGACCGGCCCCTGAGTGTTTGAGATGGGGTCTTGGAACTTGGAACTTTGGAGAGTGCGGTTGGGGTGGCTAAGGTACTGTACTGGTTAGATGGTACTGGCCAGGTGATGGACCAGTGATGGACATCGGAGTTTGTTTCGAAACACCGACCCTTGAAAGGGGGTCCACACATCGCACGTGAGGCACGCGCGTGTGAAAAACGTCCAGATGTGGCTAAAGGGAAGATCGACAGGAAACCCATCGGCTCAGGGGTGGAACATTATGTTTTTTCCTGTAGATTTTCCCTGAATTCTTCTGGGACACCAGTGCTTCTGCCGGACGATCACCTGATATATGTCGATACAGTGCTTTGGGTCCTTCGTTTCTGAGTCTTTTGACAGCACGAACGAAGCACCTTCGGTTCCTCCAACACGAGTGAAGCCCAAAACCAGATTTCGGCTATCTCGATCTATTTCAGTGCCCAAACACCAGTAGCGCTTTTGAGAACCTCTTCAAACAACCTGCCTGCAGGGACTTCCAAATCCGGCTTTGTCGACCTCCAGGGAGTTGACCTCTCGCCTTTGCCTTGAGTAAGGTCACCTTGAACCACAAGCCGGACAGCTTCGAGCCCTTTCGGAAGAGTGCCCTGGCAGCCAGCCCTGGCAAGGCCACCGAGCTCGCCGAGCTCGCGTCCAAAGCTCTTTTCGGCCGCCCTGAAATAAATAGCTCGGCGTGTTTGTCCAGGACTCAGAACCTGCCCATTCTCCTCCTCCTGCTGCTGCTTCTTCTTCTTTTGGTTTTGCACAGTGAGGCATTTTGCCAAGATGGAGATCAACTCTCCAACCTCCCCAGTTCCCCCACCGCAGTTCCACTAGTTCCGGCGCTGCTTTACACCGCTCCTTGCTCTGCCGGTGTCGTCGGTTCACCCGCCCAAGGCCCTGGCTGGGTAGACGAGTCCATGTTCCGAACCGAACCCGAGAAAAGTCGAAACGCCTCCATTTGAGCTACACACCAGGAGCATCCTGTTGAGGGGTGTCCTGTCTGGTTTCGCCCCACAAGTCTTTGGCCTGGGGAGTCTGGAGACCCTGACAGGACGCTCGCAGGCATGTTCCCACTGACCGGAGCGTGCGGTGCCATTCGTCGCCGCGGCCGCGCGACCCCAGGTCGACACCATCCCAACAGCCCGCCGTTGCCCTTCCCGGTGACCCTTCCGCCGAGCGCGCGGCAGCTGCACGGCCTGGGGGAGCCGGTCTAGGGCTCCAAAAAGGAAGCCGAGCGCAGCACTGGGAGGGGGGGTGATGGGGGGTGAGTGCTGGGAGTGATGGGAGTGGTTAAAGGTAGGAGGTAGGCGGAGGCGAAGGTACAGAACCAGGTGGTTGGTTGGTTGGATGAGCTGGTGCTGGTGGGTAGGTAATTAGATGTAGGGCTTCAGGGGTAGGGAGGAGAAACCATCCACGAACTGAGTGATCCATCTTGGAGTCCGGAGTGCTTCTTTCACACTCAAAATCACCCAATTTAGAAGCACCCTCAAGCAGCAAGCAACCTGACCAAGAGAGGTCAAGTGACCTTACAAAAGGACCCGTCACCTGGCAGCCTGGGGTATACCCAACTGGGATACTGTAGTCTTTTTTTCAGGGTTCTTCAACCTCTGTTGGGACGTTTTTGGGCACCCTCGAGGTGCCGTGGATCCAAAGGCTTTGGGGATCCACCGTTGATCCACCGAGGTGCCGCCGCTTGGGGCGTCTCTTGCAAGCGAGCGAGGCGTGCGCGGTCAGCGCGTGGTCAGCGGTGCCATCGACCCCTTAGACACACACACAGTCATACCAGGAGCATCCTGTTTGGTTTCGCCCCACGAGTCTTGGGCCTGGGGAGTCAGTCTGGAGATCCCAACAGGATGGTGTATACCTTGTTTTTGCTTAGGGCGATTTTGATCTTTCCCTTTGAGTGAAACCCCTTCAGGTCCCCTACTTTTCTTTTGAGGGCCCATGCTGTTGTAGTGCCGGAATTGGAGGGGCATAGCAAATTGATGCAAATTGTTGCTATAAAAGTGCTTGCAACCATCGGCTCCTTTTGCTGTTGGTCCAAGACAGAGTGATCGTAGAAGAAAACCTTCCTGCGGCTTGAAAACGATGAATCCTCATCGGGGTGAAAAAGTAGATGGACCCAGGTGACAATTGGCCACAACCGTTCAGATCACCATCTTTTCAGAGGCAAGTCCTCCACGTCCTTTCACAGAAAGTCCATCTCTCCATCTCGAGAGTGGTGCTGCTGTGTGGCGTTGTATCCACAATGCCAGGCTCTTAAATTGACTGCGTAGGTAATCCGACCATCCGGGTGTCCTGTCTGCACTAGACGACTTGGAGATCCCTAGACAGGACACTCAGAGAGGATGATCGCATCGTAGGTCCGTGGCCTCTTTGTTCAGTGAATATCCTTACTTCCTTTTCACTTTTACACTGAGCGACCTGAGTGTCACTCAATGTATCCAAATCTTTCATCGCCGGGTCTCAATTTGTTGAGCACGCTGAACATAAGTTCTCAAACCCATTCTTGAAGCCCAAATGGTGCATTGCTCCAACGCCAGCTTTTGAAGCTGCTGATGCCTTCAATATGACTCACAATTCTTACATCTCCATCATTTGGAATCACCATATAGTGCTGCCTCACCAACTCAGCACGAAAAACACTTGCAGCTCACAAGATCACCCTTTCGTGGTGCCTTGGAACAACGCCCTGGCACCACCCTTCGGCCCGGCCAGGAATTGACTCATGCCACCGCAGCACAGCTGGCCGGAGCCACGGAGACGATGACGATGTCCCACCGTTGAACGGTGCGAAAGGTTGTGCTGGTTTCGGAGACCAAAGCCCATGGGACCATTCTCAGTTCCCGTCGTTTAATTTTTGGTTCTCAAGTCAAGACGTGTCACAAGTGGTTGGTCTACGACTCAAGGTTGATCACAAGAGTTGGACCCACTTCTTCGCAAGAGTTGGACTGAAGAGCCTTCCGATGATTCACTTGTTTTGTAGTTCGGCTCTTCAGAGCCTCCGTCGTTCAACCTGGAGCCCGGTCTAGTCCAGCATGGAACGAGGAAAGACCGTGACGTCGGTGCCAATGACCCGCAGCCACATCTTTTGGCCGGAAGAATCATCCACTTTTCTGCCAAACCTCCTGGTCCACTGACTTGTTCTGGCCTTCTTGGCTCGAGAGTCTTTTCTCTTCAGGCCTTTCTCATTAGCCAACCGACTGGGGGCGGGGTTTCTTCCTGCCCCAGTCGACACCGGAGGATCCACCTGAGGCGGCTGAGCAGTCACGGTTGGGTGTTTTCGTCATGAAACAGAACGGTTGGAGAAGATCTCAGGAAGAGAGACCATTTGGCTAGAAGGGAGAACGGTCTGTCATCTATCGAGCCAAACTTGGGCACGCAATTGTTCCTCCTGAAAGTTTGGACTTGTGAGCGATGTCACGAGCTCGACATGTCTGTTCGCTGGCCGTTCTGCGCAAGATCGGCCGACTGAGCCAATTCCCCCTTTGAAAAAGGCGCGCCATGGGGTTGCTTTGATTTTGTGTCGAGAGCCGTTCGACACGCACAAAACGAGAAGTCGTACCAGCACAGACTTTGTCGTGACCTCCAAGGTTCCCCCTACTCTGCACCACTGAGCCTAAGAATGATCACGCCATCACATGAGGGAGACCAAGACAAAAATATGTAGGGTCATTCATCGATAACATCAACATGTTGTTCGTTTGAAGGGAGTTTTCAACAGTTCATGCGATCGCTGCCGAGGTGAAGGGGTGACCGTTGGGTGTGTGGGGAGCACGTTGCAAAGACGTAGCTGGCAGCCAAGGTACTTCTTCTTGCATGGTCTGCGGCTGCTGCAATGGGACCTGCCTGAGGTGCATTGGGCGTGCAAACATGTCGGTGATGCTTGTGCTCTGTACCAACATCACTGGCATGAGCATGTTGGTCATGTTTCAGCTCCACCCAACATTAGAGAAAGAAGAGCCGCAAGGCCGAAAGTCGGTCCAGCCCTTCCGGTCGCGGTTGTCGCCTGAAGTCGCCCGAATGAGTGACATTCCTTGCCCAATTTTCCAGGTGCTGCGGGAGCAGAAGATGATCGCTCGCGGCACGTGGCAGCTGGGTTTCTTTCATGGCATCACCGTCTTGCTGCTCTACTGCTTGTTGAGGCACCACAGATGGATGGTGTTTTCATGTGTTTTCTGAGAGGAGACAGCCTGAGGTCGGTGGTTCTGAACACCGCAGCGAAAGGTGTTCGGATCCCTAGCCTTAAAAGATGCTGGACCTGGTTTTGTAGTGTAAAATCCATAATTAACACAATAGTTGTTTGGAATTCGGACCATTAAATCAAGGGTGATTGGACATTGGAAAGATTCCTTTTGGGCTTCTTTGGAAACTAGTCACGGTTCATTCTTCCACGCGTTCCACGCGTTCCAGTCGAAATCAGAGAGTTCTTCCGTAGAAGCAGATCGAAGGTGAGCGTGTGGATGGTGTTTGGTGTCTCATATCCACTTTTCGGGCTTCCGTCTGAGAGGTTCCCCCCATTTAACTTGTCGGGCATGGTCCTTCTTCCGGAAAAGAAGGATTTGAGACGATCAGCTGCCCCAAGCAGTGGTGGATGAGAGTCACCTTGCCCCAAATCTGTCTTTTTTCTGTTTCGTGATGCTGCAAGTGTGTCTATGTATATTAGCCATACAGTGACTCTCTGAGTTACTTTGAGCTCGACTGCCCGACCAAACCCATACAGTGTCTTGGGCCTCTTGGCCAGGTCGGTCGCTCGTGCCCGCCAGGTGCTTGCTGACCTTCCCGGGCACCATCCCCGACCACCAGGGATGGGAGCTCCAGAGCGAAACGTCGCCCGACAGGAGAACGGGTACCAGTAGTCACAAAGAAAGGAGTGGTTTTGTTGACCCTATATAAGTGAGTGGATGTGACAGGGGCACCCCGACTTCCTCCGTTCCGGAACCAGCACCTCGAGCTCTGTCACTTCTGGTATTTCTGTGTGTGCGCGTGGTGTCTGTGTTGCGTGTTCTCCCCGCAGGGCAAGGGGCATGCCGGTTCGTTGGTGGGACCTGGAGGATGCTGCTTTCGTGTGAGGAACGGGTTCCGGACCAGGTCGGAGCAGCGTCGGTGTTGGTCGGAACCAGAAGAAGGATCTCCTGGATCTCCTTGTTTTGGTCTTCACAGAGTTTCACAGAGTTCGGGGAACACTGTGGAACATGTTCATTTCATGGCACTCAAGCTTCAGCTTGTGCCCTTCTGGCGCCTAAATTCGAGTGGCCCTGTCCTGTAGATCGCCAGCCAGTGGGAAGTTGGAAATCTTTGGAATCACCGTGTGGATGGAACGACAAAGGGTATCCATTGGGTGTATCTCACCTACCAGTCTCAGTGAGAGTTAATATCATATCACACTTCCTCAGTGAGTGGTCCTTTACTAATCCACTGAGACCACTGTTATTGGTAAGTCGATTTTTATCCAAGGTATCACGTCAGAACGGGGTGTCCCACAACTAAGATTCTGCCGCCGGGTCTGTCCTTACAGTTGCCGCGAAAAACATCCGCCCATCCATCCAGGATGACATCTATTCTCGAATTCTTTGAGACAACACGCTGAGTCTTTTGGTACTTTTTCACATGGATGGAACTCCCCAGTCTCAGCCATTTCCTATGTAAAGGACCAGGATCTCAAGCAAACCATATTGGAACAACCAGTTCTTTCTGGTTGTTTGGGTTTGGAGGTGGAGGTTTCTTTGCTTCAGATCTGTGTGGCGAAACGCTTGAGCATCTGACAACCCCCGATTCGCTCGATCGTGGGCATCTGACACTTGATGATTTGTGCTCTGGAGTGAGTCCCGAAAGCTCTAATTGAAACCTTTTGGAAAACATAGCTTTTCTTTTTTTTCCGGCTTTTGCGGCGGTCCTAACTTCTCCCTGGGGGCTTCTCCTTGAAGCTTCGACTTCTTCTCTGACCGACAAAATCAGGTCCGCGGCTGCCTCGCCAGTGGATGGGGAAATGAAGTGCCCTGGGCGTGTTCTGCTGTCAAAAGCAGGTCTTGAGATAGAGTTTCTTGCAGGTCTTGTGGGGTCCTGGAGAAAGGGGGCACCCAGCAGGGGTCAGGGTTTGTGTGATCTTGTGCTAAGAGGCGGCTTTTTCAAATTTAGGTTCCCAGCTGACAGCGGCAAAACAAGGTTCAACAATGACAGCTGAAGCAGATAAACCAGCCTGGCCAACATGATCCTCAAGCATCTAGAAGTTTCAATGTCAGTACGCCCAAAAGCTCGTTTTTTTTTCCGATTCCTTTTCTTTTCCGCTCAGAAAAAGGCGACGTTGCTCAGGTCGGTGCCCATCACCGAGAAGAAGACCAGTGGCGATCGGCGGCACTGCAAGTGGTGCCTGAAGTACAAGCCTGATAGGCGCGGGTTTCGGAGCAAAGGGCGGGTTTTGGGCATGTTTTGGCCTTCATGACATCTGATGGGAGTTTCTTTGCAAAACACGTGGGTCGTCTTCGAACTCTTCTCCAGTGGCAGCGGTTCGGGCCGTGCTGCCCCACCCGGCCGTTGACCCCGGAAGGGTTTGGATAGACTGGTTGAAAAAGACCCATGGCATGGCCGGACTGTTTCTTGGCGAGGAGCCCCGTTTGTAGCTTGCTCCTTGCTCCTAGTAGTAAGGCCAGGAGCCCCTAGTAGCGTTCTGGCTCCTGGTAGTTTGGAATGCTTCATCACTGTTATTGGAACATGGCCCGGACGCTCCTGAACACGAAGAAGATCGAAACAACAAGCCGACATGCCAGCAAACAGAAAGCCATTCTGCGCAGTGCATTCCGGGGCTTTGAAGGAATTCCCTGTTGATAAGTTGGGTTTCTTCTATGGCCACGGCGCAGTTTGGCTGTCTGACAGGTGTCACCATTGTCGGATTTGCAACTTGTGCGTGCTACGGATGGATCATCACTGCCCTTGGGTCTACAACTGTATCGGCTTTCGAAACCACAAGTACTTCATTTTACTGCTGATCTACTCAGTGGCTTGGTTGCACCTTCCGGTTGCATGGGGACTTTGTCATTCTTTTTTCTGTTTGCCATAGGTGCCAAAAGGGTGTGGGAAGATGGGTGTTGGATGAGTGGTGCTATCGATGGACCATCCATCAATTGTATCATATTGTATCTAAATTTGGCAGTGTATCCGTGCACCATCCCCCCCAACAGATCTATTGCGACGAGCACTTTGGTTTTGGCCGAGAGTCACAGCCACAGCTCTCAAGCTGCTGTGGGAAGAGTGATTTAAGAGAACAGCAAGTGAGGGAAAGGTCACTTTATCATTGTCTAGGGTGGACTTTTCAATAGGATTTATGCTGGGCTATGTCCCTGTTTGGAAGGAGGCTGCACTTCTGCACTCCCAATGAAGTTCCAAACGCGTTGACAGTGCACAAATCGCAAACGTGGCCAGTCTGAACTAGTTGTGGAGGGTGCACAACAAATCTAAGTGGTGGTGTCATTCGTGTGTTCCGCACCCTTCCGCGAAACAACATGATTGGAATTTCATGCCTCATGGCACCCGGTTGCATGGCACCCGGTGCCCAGAACATCCCCTTCGGCCCTTGCAGCTGGTTTGTTCATGCCATCCCAACGCTTCGTGCTCCGCGCAGGCTCCGACACGTGCTGCGACGGTGCACGGTCGAAGCGGAGCGAACGGAGCTCGAACGGTTCTCGCTGGCTCCGAGGCCATCGATTTGCTTTTCATCACCATCACCATGTTCGAGTCCGTCTGGTGGTCCACCCGTCTCGCCCCTCGAAAGCGGCAAAACATGAGGACGGAGTGGATTGGCCATGTTTGAGCAAAGGAGTAGGTGAGTAGGAGGGAAGAGCATAACGCATTCGATTGTGGAAACTGGAGTCTGAGAAACAGATCACCTTTGCTCCGATTTCTCTAACTCGTCACAGTCCATGAAAGGCGCCGACACTGGAAGTTTGTTTTTTTTTTTGGATCTACCCCTGGGGCCTCCCCAATGCTTCAAGCTTGCGATGTAGATTTATATAGTATGATTTGTATATATATATATATTGATATTGTTTTTTTATCAGCGAAAGAGCGGCCAAGTCCAAGTCCGGGAACTGATTGTCACCCCACCGAACTTCGTCGACGTGACGTGACTTCGCTTCCGCTCCGCCCGGTGCATCTGCACCTCGTCCCAAGGATGTGAGCCCTGCACTCATGACGTCGCTCCTCTTCGCTGAGTGCTTCGCGTGTTTCCTTTGCACCGTACTTTGGGATGCACCGTGCTTGGGGTGCCGGATGTGTGAACTGTTCGGCTTCCAGTATTTGCGGTTCTTGGGCGATTTCTCGTCGCAATCCAGGGCGGCACAGGATGGGGGTAAACAATTCTTTGAGCAAGATGAATCTTGATTGGCGGGTTGGAATTGAAGGTCTTGTCTCGTATTGTTACTAATTATATAAATGTTCAAGTCTGGAAGGTTTATCGAATTAGACATGACTAGGCATAGACATTTGAGTGAATGTTCCTCAAAACATATCGTTTCCATTCTTTAGAAGCACACCCATTATAGGCATTCTAGGAATCATTCTGTTCACTTTTACGGTTTACCAGCTAGACCGTATGGCTGATTGAAGTGTAAAGACACATGCCAACCCGGAAAAGGCTATCCGCCGGGTGCTTCGGTCCGACGTCCGTTTGCGTCGTCGGATTTGGGGCACCACCGAAGTACAGGGAATTCCTGAAACATCGTGTCACCTAAAGAGAACTTTAAAATAATCGCCTTGGACTTCCAAGGGCACACAATTGAAAACATCTCATCAATGTATTGAAGACTACGCAAACTCTTTTGAAGAATGCAAGTCTGCATTGAGTGTGTTGGTGGAACACCGACCGACGACGATACGATGAAGATTTTGTCGGACTGTTGTCAGACGGCCGATTGTCCCAAAGATAGAGCCGACTCTGTAAAACTTTCAGCTGGTGTTTTGGAAGTTGTTCCATCAACAGTTACACATTGCAGTCTCCCCGGCACAGATTTTCTGGTTTTTGAATTATTCAAGCATCAGTTGCCTTTGGGAGCTTGTGGGGCAACCTCCTGTTGGGATTACTTGATCATACTGGATCGGTTCGCTCCCGACAGCCTCTCAGGTGAATTGCCTCTTCTTGGGCTTCCATGGATGGCTCACAGTCCCTGTGCTTCCGTTCGCGCCGTTTGCGCCGCGAGTTCGGAGGTGTTTTTGGTGTCCGGTCACTCACCACCCGACTGGAGGGTTGTTTGGGAGGGCAACTGGGAGGCAGCAGGCTGACAGCATTTGACTCAAAGCAGGGAAGTAGTGACAAACGTCCAAGCCTGTGGAAGCGGTGTTGGGGAAACAGCCAATTTTTGCTGGATATGGAACCCCACGAGCTGTCATTTTCGTGTCACTCACCGTCGCAGAGCCGTGAACGAAGACAAAGCACCCGAAACGCGACCTCTTCTTACTTTGGCTGCTTTTAGGATGTTGTTGGGATGCCAAACAATTTTTACATGAAGACCGTCATGATTGGTGGTTTGTCATTTTAGGATTGTTGTGTTGGCTACTTTTGCGAAACATCTTGATGAAACTGTCCATGTTTTGTGACCCAGATGTCAAGCTCTGCTGTCTCACCAGGGGCGAGCACGGGTGTGCCACGCGTGAGCTCCGCTTGCTGCGCTTCAGGTAAACGCCATGACCACCTTGGAGTTCTGTGAGAAGTCAATGAAGCGCCTGGGACTTTGTACGTATCAGAGGTTGATGACCGAATAAGTTAGGAACTGGAACCTCACAAAACATATTTATATACCAGCACCCTCCAACAGGTCTCCTCTGGTGGCGTTTGGAGACTTAAACGTCGCAGGTGGGGACCTATTGGAATGTCCTGGTATGGTATATATATATACACAATTACACACATCATTTGGACATTCTATTTTGGTACCTGGTAACCCGCTGATATGACTTGATTTTGGAGTTTTGTTTGTTTCCATTCTGACTATAGGAAGCACAGTTTTGCTACCTAATCAGATTGATTGTCAATCATGCTATCATCTTGATGTCAGGACCATGCCATCCACTTCCGTCTTCGTCAGAGTCGGCAAGCGAACACGAGTCTTACACCAAACACGTATGTCCGGGTAAACGTGTAACAGTTAAGTAAAATTATGATAACTCTTTTTGAGATGTTCTTGGAACCTGCAACGTACCGGCCCCATCATCATCTACTGGGCCAGGGTGTCTGGTTATACGCAAGTTACACCAAACAGCGACGAAAAGACATATATAATGATTCGTTCACCTATGCTTCTCGCAGACGATGAACACCTCCCTCCGTTGGTTTTTTCGGTCCGGCGGAGGCTTGAAAAGAGCGCTTTTCATTTGTGGAAGTAAAGCAGTGAGTTTCACTGACAGATGAAGTGTTGCTGTGTTGAAGCCATGATTCTGAAGGCCCTTCTTGAGAATACCCAAACCGGCCACGCAAACAGGGTCTCAAACTTTGCATGGTCTTCACCCATCCCCCGAGCAAGAACCCTGTTTCCGGAGGCCATGCTATGAGATATGGCAGGTTTAACGCACACATGACGCCACGTTTAGCTGCACACTCGCTTCGGTGCATAGGATGGCGGGCTACGACTCCTCCATCTACTCAAAGGCGTGGTCTTCGATGATGTGAAAGACTGCTGTTTGCTGCGAACCCATTAGGAACAAGCTACTTTTGTCAGGTGGTAGATCCCAAGCGAACTGGTATGGTTTAGCAATCAGGGTGATGGACTAAGATCAAAGCATTTTGCACGTTTGGAAGACTCTCTCAAAACTATCCACTTGCACCTAAAAACAAGCACAAAAGAACAACTTTGGTACGTACATGCTCTTCTTCGCTCTTTTGATTTTGCGTTTGGTCATGTATCCTTCCGAAGCACCATGTGGAGGGCCTCTACGAGAACGTCTGTGCAGTGCTGGGCCCCAGGCCACTGCTTTGGCTGCTGCCCTGTGCCTCTCCTGTACGGAAAGCGCGGCGCGCGCGCGTCACCGCCTCACCGGGACCGCTTTGCGGGGAAAGGATGAGCGAGCGATCCGATCGCTCCGCTGCCGGTGCCGGTGAAAAGCGCACTGTCTCGGTCCGGCGCGCTGAAACTCCGCGCAACCCAGTCGGCTTCGAAGGCGTTTGGGCGTTCCGCTCCGAGGTAGTTTGCCGAAGGGCGATGGCTTGACGTGGAGCTAAGCGATGGAGCTAAGAAAATGCGTGTCCGCCCGGACCGGGACCAGAGTTTCTTTGAATCATGCAGGAGCATCCTGTCTGGAATTTCCACAAGGATCGCAGGGTAGTTTACCCATTAGAGACCACAGGACCGGAGGGTCCAGCTATGGATTTCTGGTCCGAACTTACCTGGAACAGTCAGGTTTCACAAGCAAATCACTATGTTTGAACTATCGGCCTGCAACCTCACTAACCTCACCATCATCCACATAGTAATGGGATAGACCCGGTGGATCTCTTTGTTGGGAACCGTTGGTCACGGCGGAACACGTCGCAAGATGCCGGGCGCTGCCGCTTCGGAGTCGTCCGCGAGACCCAAAGAGACATCGGATGCGGCATGTTCTTTGCGGATGAGACCGTGTGACCGTGTGACCCTCAGAACCCCCAAGTAGACAAGCCTAGAACCCCCAAGCAGACAAGCCTAGAACCCCCAAGTAGACCAGCAAGACAAGCAAGTCGTCAAAGGACTTTTTCCCACCTGATTGGGGAGGATCAGTTTCCTATTCGCTTATCACACAGCCGTTGAACGGATCCACGAAAAGCCATAGTGATCACATTCCTTTTAGTGCGGAAATACGAGCAGAAAAAAGGGCAGAAACCCATTGGGAGAAACACAGAGAACACGCAAAAAAAGCCCACCAAAACGGCAAAAAGAACACTCCCCCACACACTAAACGCATGACCACTGCTCCGCCTGCTCCGCCCACCCGTCTTTTTCCAGGTCCTCGAGACCGATGCCGGCCCGCGCCGTTTGCCGGCTGCGTCCCGAGAAAGCCCTCAGTTTTTCGCAGGGGCGGAGGGGAGAGAGCGAGAGGGGGGAGAGAGAGGGGGAGAACATGCGAGAGATTTGATGTGGGTGGAGTGTGGTTGTGGATCAGGAGGTAGGTCAATTGTCAATGGATCTGGCTTTTCTTCAGGCCAACGAGGGGTGCTTCACCAATGGAAGCTGATCCCTGTAGGTTATGTGATTTGCCAACTACCTGCCCAAAAGGGAGTTTCTTTTACTTCAGTCAGTCAACATGCTACTAGGAGCAAGGGCGCTACTAGGGGCTCGTGGCCTTACTACTAGGAGCAAGGACGCCTTTTTTTGGGGGGTGCACCTTTTTGACAATCTTTTGAGTGTGGAAGGTGTGAAACGTCCATGATCGCCATGGTCCCCGGTGCCCTTGGTGTCCTTGGACCGTTGACACCCGGGACCGCGAAATGCATTTGTGGTGAACGTTTCTGGAGGTGTAGAGTCAAATACACATGAGAGACATGAAAGATGTGAACGAAGGCGAGGCGAGTGACATCAGTGGAAGCACTGCTCTCCTCCTCCTTCCACACCGAAGACGTCGCCGGAGGAACCTGCCGCGGCGCCGTGGTGAAGCCGGTCGCCAGACCGGACGCGGTGAACCCTTCGATTGAACTCAATCATCCTGTCTTCGTGGACGACCTAAGTATGCAATCTCAAGCAACATCTGCGGCTAGGGCTCCAAAGGGTCTCATATCAGTTGAGAGAGGTAAGTGAAAATACCAGGTGACCAACTTTGGGTATGACACTTTGATCTGCACAAGAAAAATATTCCACCAACAGGTGACCGCCAAAAGGCATACTTATTTTGGGCAAGCGGCCGCTGTTGACTGTATGGTGCCGCAAACTGAAGACATTGCAAGGAGGACTTGTCCGCGCATCGGATCGCTTTGAACGTCAAAAGCTTCAGACCCAAGCCATCGGCGTGCCCGGCGGGTGCTCGGCGGCCATTGTCGGCCTCTTGATTGCCGCGAATGATTGCATGTAGAGGATTGTAAAGTTGGTCAAACAGGTGCCCCGACCCTCCAATCACCACCAGTAGAAGTGGCCTCAAACCCTAGTCCAGGTCTGGATGCCCATCTCAAAAAGGTAACCCACATGAATACAGGCTGCCACCTATTACAAGTTCATTGTCATGGCCTGTGAATTTATGATTCAGAGTCTGTCACGCTACCCAAAGTCAACGAAAAAGTCATTGACACGCAGGTAGTTGTTTGGTTGACCAGTCCTATTGAGCCCTTCGGTGTGCTCCATGCTTGACCCGCACATCTCCTGGGTGGCGTTCTTGTCCGGTGAATTTTGGCCTTGGCCCGAGACCCATCACAGTCCATGAGTCTACAACCTACTTATCCACCAAGTGTGCCATTTGTTGGTCTGTAGGGGCGACGGGTAAACCAGGAGCCATGCAGCGTTTACGAGTGTCAAGCAAGAGTGTCCCACAAGAGTGTTCTTTATGCGTGACGTTGCGACTCTTTTCCATGCAGCTTTGCCGGAATCCTGTGAAGGATGATGACATGAGGCCACGGTGAGCGCTGAGGCTTGAGTGCTTGCAACATAGGCGGCGCTTGGAGGTGGTTGGCCGTGGAGCAGTAGGCAGTAGGAGCTGGGAGCTTCAGCTTCTGGAGCGAGGTAGCCGCCTGGAGCCTGCCAACCTGTCCAGCGTAGATGGCTCCATGGTGCAGAAAGTGGCCAAAGCGAGCGCGGACAACATGGTTTTTGCCAACGGCTTCAAGCCCACGGCGGAAAGGGGGTTTATGGACACCCTTGACTATTCCTATGTACTTTCCATCCAACAAGCACCACCCGAGACTGTGTGGTGCTTCTCAGTTTTGGAGCTGGTGTGGGTGATATTTCTGCGACCCTGGACTCCAAAAAGGCTCTTCTGGGAGCCAGCAAGGTTTGGCTCGGCCTTGGCAGGAGCGGGGGATGGAGAAGGGGTCCAGAGGCTGAGAGGGTGCACGGAGAGCGAAAAAGGGGTCCCATCGAAGGACTTTCCTTTACTTCGGTGGTGCCAAACATCGTCAAACTGGACTTCTGGGATTCTAGGCTGTTTTTTTGAGGAGTTTACTTCTTTGGAAGGACAGGTGTGCGAGTGCAAAACATACGAGAGACGGTGCCCAGCCCTCCAAGTACTGTACCAAAGGAGAAAGATCCTCCTTGCAAGCTCAACCTTTTTGCTGTGGCCGCCCCCCAAACGGCCCAAGGGCCAGAAGCACGGCGAGAGAGGACTCGAGGACCCCCAGGAGTCACTCCAGGAGTGGTTTTGTTGTCCCTATATAAGTGAGTGGATGTGACAGGGGCACCCCGCGAGCTCTGTGACTCCTGGCTGTTTGTTCTACTCCCCCACCAGCCCATGATTGTTGAGTCAATTTATAGCCGACTCTCAGCTGAACACTGGGAGGATCTGAAGTCTGTGAGACCGAAAGCGGGCAGAGGTCCGCTCTTGACGATCCTCTTAAATTCCCTTCAACCAGATCTTGTCAGCCACCCAAACCATCCCAAACCTTCTGCAAACACACTTCTGCAAACAGCCTTAGACACAGCCGGTCATGTCAGGTCTCTTATACCAACATCAAGGCTCCTCGCGACCTGTGCCTTTGCCTTTTTTTCCAGGTCGGCGCGCTCCCAGCACCCGAGCCCGAACCAAGCTCGGAGTTGTGTTGTTCGGTCGCAAGCAACGCGTCGTTCCGCGAGGATCCGCGAGAAGCCCACGGAGCAGATTCTCTTCGTCTTCACACGGCCCAGTGGCAAAGCCCAGGAAACTCCGAGCACACGGAGGGAGATGGAGGGAGACCTTGGTGGGGGGCTTTGTCAACCCGGGAGACCAGGCACAAGGGCGGCTCGGACACTGTTCTGGGTGATCCTTTCAATCATCCCAATGGAAACCGATGTCGTGGTTTTGTTCACCCTCCCTTTCTTCGGACCAAAGACACCCAAAAACCACTGCGCCGGGAGGCTTCCAAACCGAAGGAAGGAGCATCGGAGGTCCACCGGTCGCCGGTTTGTTCGGTGAGCGTGGGAGCGCTGTGGCACCGAGGAGGACCGAAGCATATGGACCACCAGGACCAGGCACCACGGAAGGGGGATGTCCGAAGGTGGTCACCACCCGAAGTGAAGTCCCTCCCTCCTGAGAGTCCGAACTAGACTATCAGCAAGTGCATGGTCCCAAAGGAAGACCTGAAGACCATTTGGAAACCATACCACATCCGTCATGTGCTATCATGTGCTATCCACATCCATCCACATAACCCTGAGAGTACTCAGTGACGAAGAACGTGGCGGTGGCGAACGCCTCCGGCCACCCTCGTTCTCCCGAGGCCTCGGGTGTTTGCGTTGGATGGAGCGGCTCTTCTGTGTGGTGCCAGCTACTGGGATGGCAAGGAGGAAGAGTCACAGACATTTTGGACTCACCAAGTGATGACACAGGCCCACTTTCCATCAGAGATAGCCCAAAAACACTTCGAACACCTGACGGCTGACAGAGAAACATTCAGAAACAACATATCATACATATCATATACATATCATATAAATGAAAAACCAAAACACGTCTTCCAACACCCCCAAACACCTGGGTCGTTCTTTATTGGTGCCGCTCCGCACGCATCCACCGGAACGGTCCGGGTCCACCGGCCTCGAAGGTCGTGGCAAACATCCGCCTGGAAGTCTTGGGACAGCGCTGTGTCGGGGGCCGCTGTTCGTGTGGTACGGAGGTAGACTGTGACATGTGGCGCTACCTTGAGGTAGTCAGGTGCATGGTCACAACTATCCAGTTTGTGACCATGCACCTGCTTTAATTTGTTGCTTCGAGGCCTACAAGTTGCAGAGTGTATTACCAACCCGGTGCACTTTCGGTTCAACTGGATGATGAACTTTGATGTGAACCACAAGTATTGGGGCCTCTTGGTGCAATTGGGGTCTAACAATGATGGAGTCTGCTTGCTAGCAGACGTCGCTCGAAATGCTGCAAAGGATCACTGGCATTTGGCCCGTTGTCTCCACCCCAAGGTTGTTGGTTGATGGAAGTGAGGCGCTACGACCAAGCGCTATGACCAAGTGTCGTCCGGATTTCATTCATGCCCCATCCAGCATAGACATCTAAAATATATAAAGCACCCAAAAGATGCCTATCCTATCCATACCTTTTGGATGCAAGTTCGGTGTGCAATCG